ATATTTACATGCTTTGATTCCGCCAATCCACGGGCTCCAAGCCTGCTTCTCTCTAGGTGTTGTCCCGCCCTGCACGTGGTTTTTTTGGAACCGCGCCTAAACATTCATGAGGAAATCAATTACATTTACAATTGGTAATTTTATCTCGGGAAAAGACATTGGAAATGTAAATATTTAAAAACAAAGATATACATTGATGTTAAATTGTAAATTAAAAATGTCAAAATGCAATGCAATTTAGTTCAAATCACGGCAGCTATCATCGAAACTCAAGCCATAAGAAAATTTAAAATCGCAAGCAAAGTAATCCTTTTGCAAAAGACTGAAGAGAAGAAAACAGGGGTGGGGGGTCTTTGGAATACTAGTAAGTAATTTAGAAACAATATAAAAACATAATATATAAGTAAATAATCAAGAAACAATGTATAAATTAAGATTTTTAGTTTAAAATAAAGTGAAAAAACTTATAAGACATTATTTATGAGAAAACACTTATTATCTATGTTTTGTAGGTAATTTTATACAGCGGCAAAATTATAGGAGACGAACATGCCCTCCCTCCCTCCGGTCCGGTTCTTACGGTCATGTAGATAGCCTGATTAATTAATCAGATAACTGAAAGACTTTTTATCCCTAGGAAATTATGCATTATTAGAAATAATTGGAATATGTATCATCAGCTGTTCGACAGTGTAAAATTCGTAATTTGATTTAAATTTGGTATATAAGAGGGTTTCTAAAAAATTCCTGTTTATGTACATTTATGTATTTAAAAAGTATCTTCCAAAACTTTATACTACAGCTACATCAGTGTTAAAACGGCACACTGAACAGCTGTTGATGAGTTGTGCAAAAAAGAAAAATCCCCATGCTATATGGCCAAAAAAAATCTTGTAGAGTAGCTTTTATAATACTGCAAAATCTATCAATGCAATCATCATTACCATAAAACATTTCTGAAACATCGAAATATTTCAAAATATCGAAATATTCTACCCAAAAATACATGAAAACGTTATAAAGCTGGGTTTAAACCACCCCTACACCAGGTTCAGAATTTACCGTAATTCGGAGCCGTACTCAGCCAATCCTTACATGCGTGCAACGCGAAAACTTGGATTTAAACCCGGAATCATTGATCGTAGGTTTAAATCTGAGATACGCAACCGGCCAATAAAGTTTTAAATTTCGCCTTTTCAAAGACTATTTTAATTTATTTTTATAGACTTGTGTATTTTTCTTTCAATTTTCTATCCCTTATGCATGCCCATTCTTGATATAAGAAACACTAAAGAGATATCAAATCGTAGCAATCCAATGTACAGTTGTCAGTCAGGTGGAACGAACCTCAGCATAAGCACACTTTCTCCGAGGACAAGAATAACTCACTGTGTGTTACTCAATACGGGTATTCTTGGCAGCATTGAGCTGCGATGAATTTCAATGTATATATTCCTTAGAATATAATCACATTGATTTTGGCTACATATTTCAGTAAAGGTATCACACCGGTAATTGTTTTCACTATATAATTCTATATAGAATAAAAAATCGTTAAAAATCAGGTATTTGTTTACATGAAAAAATATTTAGCAGGAGGTGTTAAACATTACCTGTCACATTAGCTGACACCAAAAAACAGGGTACCCACACGGCATTTTCGGACTTTTTCCATCTGCAAACAGGGCTACCCTCAAATCCACGTGTTTTCACTGTGTTTATAAACACCTCGAGTGCACTTCAGGAAGTAGCCTCCTATGCCATGAAAAAAATAGTTCCTGTCAAAAACCTTTATTTATTCACAAAGTACATAAATTTTACTTGGCACAGGTACCAAAGTTGTAAAAATGGCATGAAAGAAAATAGAAAAACGTCTCAAAAGAAAAGAAAATCAGTTTTATATATATGGACCTACATTAGACTAAGTTCATTTTGATTGGTAAATTACCGGTGTGATACCTTGAAGGACCTTTGAAGGTGTTCGATTTTTTCCATTTTTGCACCTGAGATTCATTAAATAATTGTCCCCAACATCCTTAAGTCTGGTGATCTAAATCCCCTTATTTCTGAAGATATGAAGCATTTATCTCCCTTACTCCAGAGCAGTCAAGAATAACACACAGAGCACTTTGGAAGCAGTTTTTTGTGCATCTTTTGAAGCAGAATTTCATCATTAAAAGAATAAGCTTGGCAACCAATTTTTTATCTGTGGAGAGTATATGCTTTGTTCTTCACCACAAACAGAAAAAAGTTTACAAGTCTAAGACCATTATGTAATTATTACACAACAAAGTTGCATTTTCCCCTTCAAAGAATGAACAAAAATACAGAATTTGTTAAATACTGGGTTGATAATGAAAACTGTATCTGGTCAATTTATGTTCCAAATAAAGCCTAGGTATGTGTCTACAAGCTGCTGTGCAGAAGTTTATCTAAATGCTGTGTTGTAACTCAGGGCAGTCAAAATGATATCAGCATCTAGGGAGGTTCTTCACAGCTCCCACACTCCATTAAACAGGCTTTGATGATAAGAAACTGGAGACAACAATTCAGATGTAATTTATTGTTGTGATTTATGCAACTGGCTTTCTCTTAAGACACAAATTAGCCATGAAATTTCAATTTAACATGCATAATTATTCTCTTTTCATGGATTTACTCAGGAATTCCAAAGGTTTTTAATGAATTTCCATGATTTATGCAAGATTACATCTTTTTGTTTCAACAAATTTACATAAAGAAGTAAACATTTAAATTTTAAAATATAAATATTAAACATTTTTATGAGTTTGAACACTTTTCTATGTGACAAAATGCATCACAGAGACCAGATTCAGGACATCCTCCATGATTCTTTGAGGTGGGTGGGTGTACAAAAACTGCTGATAAAATTTATAGGAAGTGATCTGAGAAGAAAGGTACACCTTATTAGCTGAATTATAGTTATTCTGATATTTTAATTATGTAAATATGCCAAATTTCTTCATCAGTTAAATTTGGAATTTATTAATATTTCAGTACAATGATATACTTAATAGATCATGTTCATATAAGCATCACTGACTGAGACTTGATTCAAAAGTGACAGTCAACACTTACATATAAATGAAAAAATAACAAAAAACAGTCTCCGACAAACTGAAAAAACATGAATGTCAGCTGCAAAAGCATGAATAAAGTCCTAAGAACCACAAGAGGCATGCCATGGTGCTAAGTGACATTCTGCACTACATGTATGATGCATGGTTAGAACTCAGAATAAGTGTTATCATGCAGACCCTGACAGTATTTCAGGATTTTTTGGTCATAACCTTCCTTACTGTGAAAAATTCTTAATGAATTTTACTTATGTAGCTTATGTATTAAGTTTATTAGACAGATCTGACTCATTTCATTATTTCTGTTCTTCCAATGCAGTAATATATGTATCACTGGAGGTCTGAATAAATTAAAATAAATCATGTGTCTGTAGAAATTATCATTCTGTGAGAACATATTTTACTTGTTTACATTTTATCGCAGTTGTCGCTTGTGCTAAAAATTCATTCGCAAACCTAGAATTAGTCTATTCTTGAAAAATCAGCTTTAACACCCTTAACCGCAAAGTCTGTAGACACTATAATTGACTGCGGTCAGCTGGTGCAAATAATGTTAAGTCATATAAAATGAAAAAACAATATTCTCTGACTTCTATCCACATTTTAGATGCATAATGCTACCTTTTTAGTCATATTTTAAAGTATTGAGTGTAAAAAATAGCCTATTGTTAATTTTTACACAGAAATCTGTGAAAAATAATGTAAATTCTAATTCTAATTTTAAAATTGTGTGTTTTCAAACAAAAAGTTAATAAAATCACATCTTTTGTTGAAATATGCCTTTTAAAAATGAAAAATGTCTTAAATAAGGGTTAAAATGATTTTTCATAATCACCTTCAAGGTATCACACCGGTAATTGTTTTCACTATATAATTCTATATAGAATAAAAAATCGTTAAAAATCAGGTATTTGTTTACATGAAAAAATATTTAGCAGGAGGTGTTAAACATTACCTGTCACATTAGCTGACACCAAAAAACAGGGTACCCACACGGCATTTTCGGACTTTTTCCATCTGCAAACAGGGCTACCCTCAAATCCACGTGTTTTCACTGTGTTTATAAACACCTCGAGTGCACTACAGGAAGTAGCCTCCTATGCCATGAAAAAAAATAGTTCCTGTCAAAAACCTTTATTTATTCACAAAGTACATAAATTTTACTTGGCACAGGTACCAAAGTTGTAAAAATGGCATGAAAGAAAATAGAAAAACGTCTCAAAAGAAAAGAAAATCAGTTTTATATATATGGACCTACATTAGACTAAGTTCATTTTGACTGGTAAATTACCGGTGTGATACCTTGAAATGGACTCTCTTGGATTTCATTTAGGCCTTTATAATTTGCACACATTAATGACAAGTTTTTATTATATCCACGGATAAATAGCCTAGACATAAAGAATAGAATTTCAGCATTGTTCAGAGACAGTAGACATTACTTTTATGCACAATGAGAAGTAAAGACACATATCAATTATTACATTTGGAGATAACAAACTCAGAAATTCAATAAAAAGGGTTCCTCCTATCTCTCCTCACTGAAATAAAGATTTAGGAAAAACAAATTATTATATTATTCAGCCTAATGTCAATAATCAGAACGGATATCGACAAGCTTTTTGTAGAGAATAAAACCAAGCCCGGTCAGATCCCTATTTATAATGAAGTGATCCTTAGGCACACGAAAGATGTACGAACACACCTATTACTATATTTCACCATATTATCTAGCGGGATATATAAACAAAATATGTACAATGAAAAAGTAACAAAATGCACAATTGCGTTTAATTTTTTTATTTTATATGATAAGATTTTTACAAATCTATATCGTCACTTGATGAACACTGTAAAACTTTTAATGTATCTGATTTCCTTATGCTTAGTTTTTGTTTCTAGGTGGCACGAGCAGCCTACGGTGTTTTGATCATTGGTATATTCTGGGTATTTGAAGTGCTACCATTGGCAGTAACATCTTTACTTCCAGTACTTATATTCCCATTACTCGGGGTCGCCAAAGTTAGTGTAGTATGTTCAAGTTACTTCAAGGTAGGTAAATGCATGCATAAATTTTCATATGATAGTAGTTGTATTTACATGCGAAAAAAAATATATTAATGTAGGAAAACGAAGAAAGGAAACACAAACAATTTGTGTCCAGCAGAAGAAAGTACAGTTTAATTAAAGTCTTCATATCCAAACCTTAGGAATTCAAATAAAAAGAAATCAAAATCTTTATACACAATAAATATGTACAGGTAGTACATAGTTGAGAAGTTTTTTAATGAGTCCCTAGACATTGTACAATTCATTTACTTGTTTGAAAAAAAAAATGCCATAATTCATCACATTTATCAAAGAATTACTAGAATAAAAAAAATAGTCAAAAAAAAAAAATCAAGGTAGTCACCTATAAAAGATAAACTTTTCACGTGATTTGAGCGTGCATTGGAAAACTTAGTATTGTTTTGTCAAGGGTACCTCCTTATAATCAGGGACCTTTTAAAAGGAACAAGGAAGACAACATATAATGGCAAAAACGTTATAAATTTTACTTTTTTCCCATTTGCAGAATTTTTTAGTTTCCTCTTACTATTCAAATATCCAATCAAATCATTTGATGGAGAATACATTTTTTTCAGTATTGAAAGATAAAAATTTCCTGAAAGGATTTCGGTTCTTTTGGTGTTTTATTTATAGTTTCAAAAATATCTTGATATGTTATGATATTAAATTTCTTTCCACCCTAAGTATATATTTTTTGGTATCTAGGACACGTTGATGCTGTTCCTGGGAAGTCTTATAGTGGCCGTGGCAGTGGAGAAATGGAATCTTCACAAAAGAATCGCTTTACGCGCTCTGACACTCGTCGGTCCAAATCCAAGATGGTAACCAAGATTGTTTTAGATCAGCTGAATCACAAACCATCAGTTGTTTGAATAAACATTTTCACACTTTCGTCTTATGCGGCCTATTTGAATCAAACTTGGCTCAAATACTTTTGCATTGTAGACATGTTCCTCCTTGCTAAACTATGTAGAAATTGAAGTAATTTTCCTTAAGAAATTAGAATATATAGATGGGTTGATTTAAAATAACAAAGGACATATTTATAAATTTACATATAATATGCATACAATCACAAATTGTCTGAATAAAGAAATAACGCATAATTCAACATGGTTTTTATGAAACAAAATTTTTTTTTTCATAAAATCATTTAGGTATTAGCTAGACTGTTGAAAATTGTACCCTTGATAACAAAACGCTATGACGTAATACTTAAATCCTTTCGGAATAAACGACACCATAAATCTGCTATTAACAAAGGAACTGCGTTGGCCAGTGGGATTTGTGGCTGTCGCGTTTGCCAACAAATGAATCTCACGTTTGAAATAATTGGACTATTACAGTATATCGACGTGCTAATCTACTTTTAGGAAATGTGCAAATGCTATAACCAGCACTTCAACAACTATCACCTATATTGATGTAACCTGAAATCCGTAAAAACACAAGATACATTCACTGAAATCTACTGAATTCAAATATCTGTTTTAATAAAAATTGTGTCTTAAATTTCAAGGCTTGAAACTGATACAGTACATCATTTTGTGTTATTGAAAGTTTTGAAAGTTTTTGATGTGTTCGGGTTTTTGGGGGGTTAAATTATAGCATCCCCTTTCTATATAGGCTTATGTTGGGGATCATGTTGCCGTGCTGGTTCCTCTCCATGTGGATGAGCAACACCGCAACCACCGCCATGATGGTGCCGATCCTCAACGCCATTCTCCACGTCATGAAGGAATCCATGACTGATGGTACTTATAATGAAAGCTAAAAATGGCTGGCTTTATTGTGTTTTTTTAAAAATAATAATTGAGTATGAAAAATTTCCAAGCATCAAAAAATGAATCGAATCATTATACATGCAGGAAACAAGATAATTGGCAAAAATTCCATTCCGTGAATTATTTACTGATTTTTCGACTGCTCATAACGTATTGTCATTGTGCATTATTGTAATTGTGGAGATTAAATTTGAACGACTTAAAAATATCTTTTTAAAATTTTTACAGAACCCGCTGAGGAGACGGAGCTTGTAGAACAAGGAGTTAATAAAAGCATAGAGAATGGAGAAGTAGTACATGTAGAAACTCTAGAGGGGGAGGAAGTCAGTATCAAACCCCGGGAGAGGGACGCGTAAGTATCAGGGGAAAAGGTTATAGAGTAAACCACAGGGGGAAAGGTTATACAGTAATCCACAGGGAAAAAGGTTATACAGTAATCCACAGGGGAAAAGGTTATAGAGTAAAGCTCAGGGGGAAAGGTTATACAGTAATCCACAAGGGAAAAGGTTATAGAGTAAAGCTCAGGGGGAAAGGTTATACAGTAATCCACAGGGGAAAAGGTTATACAGTCAACTTAGTGATTAAAGGTTATAAAGTCAACCTCAGGGAAAAGGTTATACAGTACACCCCAGGGGGAAAGGTTATAAAGTACAATTCAGGGAAAAGTTTATACAGTCAACCACAGAAAAAGGGTTATACAATCAAATCCCAGGGGAAAAGGTTATACAGTCAATCTCAGGGAAGAAGGGAAAGGGTTATACAGTAGACCCCCAAACTTAAATAATTCAACACAAGGAAAGGAATGTGTAAGTAAAATGGAAATATAATATAAAGTACCACCAAGGACAATACATAATATCTGGATTTAATACATAAAGACATTCAAATTGTCAAGATTTTACGTAAATCAAAATAACTATTTCTTAGAATGAACAAAATTCAAATGATATCAAAGTTGCTTTTTATTGATAAAATCATTTAAATTTAAGCCGACGTATATATTGTCTTATTTAAAAAAGAATGTAATTTATTACTTGTAATTGAAAACAAAGTCATCATTTGACAGTAAATAAATACATGTATACTGTGGTAAAGAAAGGCAAGCTCTTTTGTAAATTGACGCGATTATTAAAAAAATCGATACCAGACAAATTAAACCGTATTTCATTTATTTTTCTCAATATGCCAAACCTGAAGAAAAAAAAAACCCTACTAAAAATCACGCATGGAAAGATTTATCGGTGTATTCTGCTATAAAATTAAGCCTTAAACATTTACACTACACATAAGTAAATCACACAGGGTATTAGGAAATGATAAATACATTAGCCTTCTTGTGTCTGTCTGAGTAACAGTCCTTTGAGAAAATGACTAAGTTTGTCGTTGCTGTTTAGACCAAATCATAAAAAAAAATTGTCAGTATCTAGACAATTTATTTGCAGAATAAGGCAGGAAATCCTTCTATCATGATTTAGTAGACAACATTAAGCAGAGGATGCTAGAATTATCCTCCCTGTTCTATATATAGGTTTTGATTTATTTTTTAGAGACAGCAGGGATATAGATCTCGAATCTAGTGCTCCAAACTTTTCACCAAACGACAAATTCATCCGTCTCACCAAGACGTTTGCCCTCTGCACAGCCTTTGCCGCCAATACTGGAGGAATGGCGACACTGACAGGGACTCCTCCCAACATAATCCTCAAAACTATAGCCGACGAGTAAGTCTGGCAAAGTAGAAACAAACAAAAGAACTTCAATATTTTAAGTTTATTTTTCAGATTCTTTCTTTTATACTAATACTAGTAGTATAAAAGAAACAATCTGAAAAATTGAACAGTGGTTATTTGTCAAAACTTCTTCACTCCATATGTTGAAATTGGTTATCATTCATTAAAATACAGACAATACAAACAAACAAAAAATAGATGAATATTAATGAATTGGTATTTCTTGGTTTTAAGTAATGTGAATGCTAAACTTTAAGACATTGTAAACTTCATATGATGTTCAATAGTCTACCTATCTGTAACTATCCTTACTACTCTGAATTCTGACTTTATGTCTTCTTAAATCGCATTCTTGTGAAACTGAATGAAGAATTAAAAATTTATGACTGTACACTTATTTATTTAACTTGATACAAACATAAACCTTTTAGTCATGGTTTTTGATACAAGTTTGCATCATCTTAAAGGTTTCATTTTGATATCAAATCTGAAACCTTCCGAATCGTTATTAAGTAAGATTTTATCTGATTCAAACCTTGGTAGTGGAAATAAGTTTATTATCTTTTACTATAAGCATCTATCAGAAAAGAGGCATACCGGACTCTGGAATATCCTTCGCCAGTTGGTTGATCGTGGGCTTCCCTCTGTCTCTCATTTGTCTGATCATATCCTGGATCTGGCTTCAAGTCTTCTATGCTGGTACTAGGTAAAAATTAAAACAATTAAAACCACATTTTAAAGACGAAAGCAATAAGTTCCCTCTTTACGGATGATAACAATTAGAACCCCATTTTACAGATGATAACATATAAAGTACAATAAGTGCCACATTTTACAGATGATAACATTAAGTGCCACATTTTACAGATGATAAAAATTAGTGGAATATAACAATTTAACAATATGGATTTAACATTTCATACCATATTTTACAGATAGTTCCACTCTGTAATACATTTTACAGATGATTACAATTAGTACCAAATTTTTCAGATGCCTAAGAAATGAATCAGATTCCTATGAAAGTGTCAGGGTATATTTAAGGAAAGCTTACAAAAGACTAGGACCCATGACGTGAGTATAATTTAATCATTTTTATAAACTTGGAGTAAAATCTGTACATAAACAATAGTTTCTGAAAAGATTTTATTTTAATCAATGCCATTCCCTTTTCACTGTCTACATTGATATGAATACCTCAGATTTCAGGAGATCGTTGTATTGGTTGTGTTTATTGTCCTAGCCTTGCTGTGGATGACGCGGCAGCCACAGGTCGTACCGGGATGGGGAGCGCTCTTTGAATCAGGGTAACTTTAATGTCAACCCATACATACTTACATGTGAGCTTCAACTCATGTATTCTATTGCAACTTCACAACTAATTTACTTTTAAATAGGTACACTGGGGATAGCATCCCTGCAGTATTCGTTGCAGCTTTCCTATTTGCTTTTCCATCCCATATTCCGTGGATGAAAAAAGGTAATATTTTAACACAAATCGTGCATCAATATATATTTCGATAACAAATATCCCACTCTTCTCCTGACGGGAGCAAAAAGTTTGTCTTCATGTTTCTAGCTCACAAGATCCAAATGCTAAAAATGAGAATTTTTTTTATCTCCATCGTATGTCCTTTAGGCCTCAATCGTAAATGTGATTTTTCCATTTTTTGCCTTTTTAGATCAAGAACTAGAAGATCGATTTTACCGACGGAAGCTTCTTGACATAATGTAGATTCAAGCTTTTTAAAATTATGACACCAAGGGGTAGGGTGGGCCACATCTATGCTAAGTCGTATTGACATGGTAGCATCCTCATGTAGTGTTGATTTAAATTTATTCAAATCCTGACCCCTGGAGTAGGGAGGGGGCAAAATGGATGAACAATTTTTTAAATTTTCGAAAGTAATATACAATGTTTATGTATAACATCTTCTCCTCAAGATCATAAAGTTATATACTAATGATATGAATGTATCCTCTAATAGTATAAAATTATCCTCCCTTCAAAGTGAATTTTTACTGAAATGATTTGTGCTTTTTCTAAGTGCAAAAGTGAGCGATGGGGCCCATGGTTTTCTTGTTTATAGCAGATTTACTATTTTCATAGTTGATTGAAGGCTGTGTTTGTGTTTTAAGAGACGAGAAGCGATGAGGAGGAAGGCACAACTGTTGAGGATATCTCTTTCGAGGAAAAATGGAAGTTCCAGCCTCTGTTGGACTGGGAGACGGTGAATCAAAAGATTCCATGGGGTGTTCTACTACTGATGGGCGGAGGGTTCGCAGTGGCCGCGGCCTGCGAGGTAAAAGACAACTTGCACTTCTTGGTAAAACGTTATCTTGCATCTGTATGTTCAACTTTTCTTTAATAAGAACGTACACCTTCAATCTAATTCTTTATTAAGCAGTAAAACAAAAGAAAAATATTTCCAAATTTTGCCAATTATTATATTTATAATTCCAATTGAAAGGGTTCAGGACCCTGTACCAAAGTAGGTCAATTAATCCCTGGTATACCTAATTACACTTACATTATCAATATACCTAATTTATTTGCAGTCTTCCGGCTTGTCAGAGTGGGTTAGTGACCAACTGGCTATTGTAATGAAGAGCCTGTCAACGTATACGGCAGCGCTTCTTCTTTCGATCATGGTGGCTTTAGCGACCAATGTGACGAGTAACTCTGCCACAGCCACTCTCTTCCTTCCAATCGTCGGTGAACTGGTATGTTGCAACAAGTCTCGTGAAAATCTGCTTTGATTGAATTTTGGTGATGACAAAACCCGTTTTTTTTTTCTTTGGTATTTTTTTGTAAACTAATAATATTGGACGTGCGAAATTGAGGTTCTTTTTTATGAATCAAACATCGGAAACCAATAATCATCTATTAAATTACTTTCATAGAAGGAAGAGACCTTTATGTATTATAATTTATAAAGGTTAAAATATGATACAAATCTATATTTGAAATATTAAGTATTTAAAGAATGTCATTTTACTTTATTTTCAGCTGAAAATGAATTGATGCGCCATGTCTCGATATTATATTTTTAAATTTTAGGCAATTGAATTAGGAGTGCATCCACTTTCCTTCATGATTCCAGTAGCGATCTCATGTTCTTTTGCATTCATGTTACCTGTGGGGACCCCACCTAATGCCATTGTATTTTCTACAGGTTACCTGAAGGTCAAAGATATGGTATGTGTGTTAATCATATGTATGGTAAAGTAATGATTGGAAATAATTCTTTCCTAAATGTTTAATGCGTAAGTTTCATATTTATACCCCCGCTTGAAAAAGTGGTAGGTTATACATGCACAGTGATCGGGATTTCTAGTTGTACGTCCGTCCGTCTGTACCTATCTTTTATCTGCAACTCCTCACATATAACAATGGATGAAATTTAATGAGACTAAATAATACATGCAACATAGTGCCTTTGTGTGCCTTCTGTTATAAAGATGGACAAAATGTTAATAACAAACATGGACACAGCAATTCTTTTTATAATAGTGTAACTATCCTTTGTGTACCTTCTATCTGAATAAAATTTTAAGAAATTTTTATATTGGACACATATTAAACAAGGTTTTTATTTTTAGCTTTAAGATGAACACTGCAATTCTTTGCCATTATAATTATTGAACTGTGAGCAATGAGCTCACTAATATCTCCCATATGATTATAATGACAACATGTTTTCCTCCAAAATATATGTCAGATCAAAAATTGCAATATGTAATAAAGATTCTGTGAAAGTTTCATCAAATTTTCACAGATGCTTCATAACATACTAGTTAAACAATTGTGCATCTTCTATTTTAAGTTTTTGATCTGAATCATTTCTTTAAATGAAGCTTGAAAATTAAATCTTTTCATGCAACAATTTTCATTATAGCCTCTCATGGACTTTGGCTAATTTCATAATTATAAAGGAGGCGGGATAAAAATTTCTACTTTTAATTAGAGCTAAGAAGTTCAAGACTTTTTGAATTAAATTATAAATTAAAGATTTTAAACATATCTTCAGGTACATGAAAGTTTCTAACCTTATTATAACCTTTATTTATCTTTATATAGGTGATTGCCGGTTCATTCATAAATTTAGTCACAGTGATGGTTTTGATTCTGGCAATGGTGCTGTGGGTTACACCATTTTACAATTTAAACGAGTTTCCAGCAGGGTTTTTGACGGCAAAAATGAATGGAACAGTTACTGTACATTATAATGGAACAGGCTTTGATCCGAGCAACATTACATTATTTAACGCAACAAATATTGTGTCATACAATGTCACATCGTTATAGATTTTGTTAATAACCAACACGTGTTCAAAAACTTTGTATGTATATACGTCAGTATTTGGTGCATATATGTTGTAACAAACCAAAACTCCATTAATTCAACGATCATTTGCCAAAATTATAATTAGTACATTATGCAAAATTTGACCGTTGTTATTGAGTGAAGAGTATTAAATTTTTGCTTAACTTTAATTTTTGGTGGTTTGCTTATGTTTCAATATACGTTGAATAAAATTTTTATTTATTATTGATTATAACCAGCTCTGGTCATAATCTGAACAAGTTAAGTCCATTGATATACAATACTAGTATTTGATTCATACGAACTGTGACTGGAAGATATCTAAAAGATGGAATTAGTTTATTTTACTAAATGTAATTTAACATATATGCTTTAAATGCTTTATTTTAATCTACATACATATTCTTCAAATGTTGATGGTTTTTACATGTACTTAAAATAGAGGAATAATAAAATCATTTATCGATAAAGTCAGCTTTCTAACTTTGAAATCCGATTGCTGACAGAATTATTTTTGTAAGTTACTTAAATCCTCCACATTTATTTTTATACATGACATTTTGTTCTGTGTCTTTCATAAAGTAAACATATCTTCACAACCAGTATCCAGACTTCACATTATGTTATATAAATAGTCATGCTGGGTCTATGAAGAATGGTTACATCATCCAATAAGTGTGTTATATTTTATGTTAATCCTTGCCATTATAAATATGTTTGTTATTTATTATAGTTTTATTTTTAATATATCATTCCTTTTTCTTCACACATAATTTAACATACTAGTATTTATAGCATAATATTCTTTTTTTTTTTAACTGTATATGGTTGATATGTAAATTACATGCCAGATCACATATAATTGTGAAACAATGAACAAAAGATATGAACTTCCGCAAGAAAAATGATCACGTGTACTTATTAAATTGTTAAAGGTATAGAATAATGTAGGAGGCATTGCTGACTAAGGTAAAGGGTGTTCATTGAATAGCTTTAATGCACTCAGAGAGTAGAGAGCATTTTTCGCTTTTTGTCCTTTTTTTATTTTTCAACAGTGCGTATAATGCTTTTTATTTTAAATTTGAATTCAATGAACTCGACGAATGTGTTATTTTTTTTATTCTGTGATTCAATTAATAAAATATATGATTTTGTAGAATAAGAATTTGTTCTGTGAACAAACATGTATTTTTATATTGTTAAACATTAAAAAAAAATTACATAAATTATGAGAAAATGTCTCTTGTTGGTTTTTGTTCTTCTAGGTGATATTAATTGTGAAATTGAAAGACAGTTCCGTTTTGGGGTTTTCATTTACTTTATGTACCTCTGTTATGTTGGATATTAATATTCTAATGACTGAAATATGTCAAATTGAACATAAAAGCTCTGTTCCAGTGTTATAATGTTTAAACACATCACATCCTATTTCATGCACTTTTTATTTAATAAACTGATTTGGGGCATTATTTTAAAAATATGACGTAAATTTCCGTATACAGTAATGTTTTTTTATTAATGAAAAAAGGAATACATGTAATCCCGTTTTATAGTAATACTTCCCCGAAAAAGGAACTGTTAGTGTACTCAACCTTTTTAAAGATTTCTATATTTCTTTCAATTCATCTGGTTGAAAAATGGATAGTAGAGAAAAGGTGTTAAAATAAGAAAGTATATGTCACTGTTTGTCATTCTTATAATCGATGAATAGCTGTTCAGTTTCAGTCTTTCTTAAAATAAGTGAAAAGATTTTCTTTCGACTTTTTAAGTTTTTTCATGAGGTAAGTAAAAGGAGAATTCACAGTGATGGTCACCTTCAGGAGTATTATGAGTTTTGCAAGATATAAGCGGGAGAGTATATAGTGATCGGGATGTCTGTCCGTTACGCACTGGTTAACCAATCTCTTATTCGCAAATTCTTTTATACCCCATGATGAAATTTAATAAGACTTTCACAGATTCTTTGTTACATAAAGTCATTGTGCACCTCCTTTTCTATACTTTTTCATCGGAAAAAGTTTACGGGTTTCCCATAGCAAAACATGGATACGGCCATTTTTTCTATGATATTGAAGGGTACCCATCTCTTATCCGCAACTCCTCCTTTATCACTGAATAAAACTTTATGATACCTTCACATATTCTTTATTACATTGTGACATTGTGCACCTCTTACTTTATCTTTTTATTTGACACTTATTTCAGGTCTCCCAAAGCAAAACATGGACTTTGCCATTATATTTTTTTTTCTACTTTTTAAATTTTAACCTTTTAGGCATGGACCGTAGTTTTGTTTCAGCATAAGTTCTGTATACTGGGTTATCTCTTACCCGTTTTATTTCTGCCCTCTTTTGTTAACAGTAAATGAAAATAACAGAATCGTTTATATCACAGTGCCTTATGAGTGTTCAGGGGACATCACAGAGGCCCTGGTTACACACTGGGTGCCCCGTGGGACAGTCTGAACAGGGTGTTCCTTCGTAGTATGGCTCCATAGATTCGTTATAGCTGAAATAGACATTGAAAATACATGCAAAGCAACTATATTGTCAGCAATTATTTTCTATTTTTTTTCTGCATTAAAATTTACTTAGGATAAATTATTAATTTTAAAAAATATTTTTTCAATATATTAAGAACAATTCAGGGATTAGCTGCAGATCTGTAGCGTTATGGTTTTATATATTTGTCTTTGACGTTATGGTCAAAGACAAATAAATAAGACCATGCCGCTACAGATCTGCAGCTATTCAGGGATGTAACAGATATCAATGTGATTGGAGTAATATGACTGTCAAATACTGTGTATTGCATACCAATAAAACCTGTCTAAATACAAAAATGTAGACTTACCCGTCTCCATAGTTGCAAACGAAAATGTGTGCATTTTTATAATTACGTCCTTTTACCGTTTCACAAAGGGATGTCCCACAACCGATTGCAAATGAAACATCCTTTACCATCTACAACAAGTTAAAAGTAAAAAAAAAAAGTAACACGTATGAAAATTCTATTCTGTAAACCCATGGTCGACCAATCAAACAAATGTACATTTCGGTTTGTTATTTACCTGAATGTAGTGACCACAGCCCTTTGGACAACCGTAAGGATTCCGATAATCATATTTATTTTTCTCTCCCCACCATCTGTGCAGGACTTTGGAAATGTTCAAAGGTACTGTAAATTAGTCAGTTATTATAAATGATATAGTTATCGTAAATATATAGTCGGTTATTATAGTTACTGTAAATGGTCGGTTATTATAGTGATTGTAAATAGTCGGTTATTATAGTAACTGTAAATGGTCGATTATTATAGTTACTGTAAACAGTCGATTATTATAGTTACTGTAACTGGTCGGTAATTATAATAACTGTAAATAGTCGGTTATTATAATAGTAACTGTAAATGGTCCGTTATTATTGTTATTGTATATAGCAATTAACACATTTTGAATCTACTGTTAGGTAGACCGATGTTGTAACTGATTAGGAAGTAAATTGCATGTTCTAAGAAAATAGATCTTAAAGTATTACGTGTCTTTTGGACAAGGACACCATCTTCATATTCTGCTACCCAATCCCAAGTGTGATGTATATTCTCGCCGATATTCCGGAAGTTTGCCCATTTCCGTTTATGTCGGTCTGCATTGTGTGTACCAGAACACGTTTCTGCATACTTTTGGGCCATTTGTTCCAAAGTTGTGTCCCAGCTCTAAATGTTTAATTTTTACTATACATGTATATATGTTGTACTAATGAACTGTTTTAATATATCTAGAGATGGTTATATACTAATAAAAAGTTCTTAATTACCATTTTCTTCATGTTTGCTGCGCTAGGTGTAACACTTCTTCGTATCTTGTTATGCAAATCCACAATTTGTCTTTTTTGTGCTTCAGAAAGTCTCGATGCGGTGCTGCTAGAATATGGTTTCTCTCTCGTGTCTTCTCTGTGTACAATTTTTTTCTGAGATCCCCATTGTCCAGAAAACGATCTGTCACTGTTAACGTTCAGACCTGTCGAACTTTTCACTCTGTTCCGATTTGACGGATAAATGTTTTGCCTATTAAAAAGGACGGGGACATTTTCGGATGCTCGAGAGAGACTTCTTCGAGAGCTCCAGTTGATGGGGACTGTTTGATGTCGATTAATTTGATGAGCGTTACCTGCCAAGCTACTTCTGTGATGCATGTTTCGAGGGGAATGACTCGATCCTGTGTCATTCACCCAAGTAACTACCAGTGGCAATTTACACTGGCAAATTTCCACTGTCAGTGCCAAAAATATCCACAGAAAGCACCGCATTATCAGTCAATTTTCAATCAGCTGCCCTTGAATAAAATGTAATGTTCAAATAATAAAAATCCTGTTAAAAAATGAATATTTTTTTTATCTTTCTCTTGATATCAAATATATTATATATTTCCACGACATAACAATCCTGTGTTTTTTTTTATTAACAAGAGTATCCTTTATAAATTTTTATTTTAGAAGTTCCGTATTGTAGAGTTTTTTTCCTTTTTGTTAAAAACCAGAAAAGATTCCATTAACCTTAAAAAGTTAAATAAGAGGCTCACGGGCCTTAAAGGCTACCTAAGTATCATGTTACAACTTTCTAACAACTGACTTCGGTTCATGTCACAATTTTGAAAGAGGTCACTGCTCATCATAACTTTACATTGAGCATACTAGTACTCAAATGATTACTCATAACCCAAAGGCAGAGAAGAGGAACAAAGAATGCATTTCAACTATATAATCAGTAGTCCCCATCCCCTTCTACAGGAACCCCCTGACCCTGTGGCCATACATTTCACAATTTTGGAAAAGACACCCTTGCTCATCATGAATGTTTGATGAATACACTTAAAAAGGGGCAGATTTCAAAGCATTTATTCATTTTCAGTATACACCCAGGCGCCATAAAATTCACAATCTTGGAAAAAGTATCCTTTTTCGCCATAACTTTGGACATATATAGTCCCGCCCTACCTTCAACTTACATTTTAGAAGAGGCATTCATGTTCATCATATCTACATATTTAGTTTGTTTGCTTATTACCCAGAGCAGGGAAGAATATTTTAAAAGAAATAATGTATTTTCACTGACAAGTATATTCTACAGAGACCCACCCTAGCACTAAAACTCCTGGCCCTGGGGCAATGAATTTCATAATTTTGGTAGAGGATTTAATACTTATAGCAAAAATTATGCCCACAGCTTGTCTGCTTGTTGTCCATACAGGAGTAACGTAGAATAATTTTAAAGATTGCATATATTTTGATGGTTTAGTCCCAGCCTCAGGCACCAGGGGGTGAGGGGCGATGGATTTAAAAATTTTACTCCCTTCCTTTCATAGATGCTTTATACCAAAATTGGTAGAAACTGGTTCAGTGGATTGTGAAAAGAAACTGAAAATATTTAAATGTTATCGCACAACGGACTACGAACGAAAACGGATAGCAATAGGTCACTTGGGTAAATTCAGTAAACTCAGATAACCTATAAATAATTAAGTAAATTAAGTAAAAATAAAGTTTCAAAAATTACCGTAACTGATGCCAAAGTATGATACAGCTTTCTCTGATGATCATCCTTTAACAACTCAATATATTGCTCATTATCTCCATAGTCGAACATTGCACAACAGCATTATTACTTCTACATATATATATAAATAAGACCGACTCAAAAGTAAATTGTTAATCACTTCCCCGGTGACAAATACATGAAAAGTTGTCCAGCCATGGGCCTTTTTCTTCATGAATCACCATGTGAAACACTCAGTGCAAAATAGGTCGATGTGTATAATTACAAATGTACTGGAAATTAATAAAACAGCTGCAGAAAGCGCAACTTGCTGTTTAAACAAAATCCATGATGTTTAAAATTTGCATGCTTGAAAAAAAAATTATGTTAATGAAATATCACATGCATTTGTTAACTTTTTTCAACAATTATTGAGTACATGTTGATGGAATGATTTAGATGTTTTCCTTGTTAGATTTAATATTTTTACCATTTTGTCGACCATAGGGATGTTCATTTCAATATGTAATATGTTACCTTCAGACATACATAGAGAACTGAGACAGTCAGTCAAAAGTCAGGGACTGATGTATTTAGTGTAAACAAGACATAATTTTCCATGTCAGTTTGCAGACAGTTCAAAGGTTAATAAGTTTTAAACATGGAAAGAAACAGGATATGAAAAACATTTTAATGCAATGTCTTCTTATTTAAGGATAAATAACAAAAAAAAACTTCCAAAATTCAAATATATTTAGAAGAAGTATAAATTTGTTTATTTACGCAGGCCAAAGTAAAAAAAGATTCAATTGGTGAAAAGTGTGAAATCGCATCTTTACATCTCAATGCGTTACATTATGCATATGAAAAGTTTAAGAAAAGTATGAAATTTTCTTACTGCAAAAAATTCTGTAGAAATATTCAAAAGTCTATTTTCAAATTTAACACTTAAAATTTCTTAATTACATTACCATTTAAAGAAATGTATCGTAAAAATGTCAGTATAACTCTTATTTTTTAGGACTAGCCTTAACTAAAACAAGCGCTCACAATTCTGGAGGTAAACTTAAAATGTTTCAATGAGACCAAAAAAAAACCCCGTAGAACGAGTATTGATAATGATAATTTTAAAATATATGAACATTACATACAGTCGATAAAAATGCCTGTGTAATTCATACAAATGCAAAGTAATCTGCTTAAAACCAACAGAAATCAAATATTTCTTTAAATCTCGATAAAAATAGATTGGTGAAATATTTTCATTCTGAACAGACATCTCAGGTTCGAATTCCACTGTGGGACCTTTGTGGAGTCCTTCAGATAAACAGAGGTCCCGTGTCACAGTAGGTGCTGGTACGAAAAAGATCCCTCCATGCTCAATGGCCCTGAGTGAAGAGTATAGGAAAAAAATTGCAGTTCGCCACAGGCAAGTGGTGGCGTCTCCGTATGAGTGAAAAGTTCTCGAGAGGGACGTAAAACAATATATAATAAATCAATCATTCTGAACAGAAATTGAAGACAACTGTCGAATCAATCACTGGGATTGTGAAAAAAAAATACTGGGGTCAACAGAGAAGCCGATATTAAAATCTGTCAGCAGATAACTATCGCTGTCAATTCCAAGAAAGTTTCTCTCTGAAATCCCTGCTATGGAGTAGTTTGGTCTTGAAATCTTGCTATCAAGTAGTTTGGTCTTGAATTCTTGTTATCGAGTAGTTTTGGCGTTAATTCCAGCTATAGAGTGGTTTTTGGGCTTCAATTCCAGCTGACTAATTAGTTTGGGCTAAAATCCCACTTATCAAGTACTTTGGGCTTAAATTTCAATAAACGATTAGTTTGAGCTAAAACTCCAACTATCGATTAATTTGGGTTGCTTCAGCCAGAAAGTCTCGTATGACATTAATGCTTCCCTCAAGAAAACCCATATAGCCTAAAAGTGAAGAAATACACACCAGAAACTGTAGCATTATTACTGAAAAACAACAAAGTAATAAAATCAGAAATACATTCACAATATGTAGATGTAAGTAACATGACTTAGGCATACACAATTGACGAGGCAACGACCAAATTGAAAAATCTTAAACCAAACCTGATGTTGTCTTACTAAGTGCATTTGCCACTGATATGGTTTTTATGGAACATACCTCTGAAGAAGATCATGGAAAAGCCAACTTCGTTATTTTGTCATAATAAAGCAACAAGACGACCACACGTTTTATTATAAATTAAAGAATGCTAGAAGAAATACACAAATAAACTCGGAATTTTTTTTTATAAATAATTATGGTGATAACGAAGAGCATTCAAGCTAAAGGTTCAATTATTTAGACAAACACAGGGATCAGGATCACAGCAAGCAAAAACCTCCAAACACAACCGAGGTGGAATCAGGTGCCATGGATGAGTGAGCAAATATTCACTGAAATATGGGAATTTACAGAAACCAATATCTGTTTAGTAGACACATTAGCACGTGGATTTCAATGAGCAGAAATGATAAAATGGGCATCAAAAATGGGTTTCGTCCTTTGCGACTAGGAATTACAACAACCAATGTACTGTTTGCCAAAATTCGAAAAATTATCACCGATGATGTTTGATTGATTTTCAGATACATAGCAACTTTAATAGGCATCATTTTGGGGGTAGTTCACACCGTTTTAAAGGAACATTTGACAGAACTAGCACAGTATTCAAATGGCATGACAGCGTGACACAATAGCTAAACAATTATTTTTAAAAGTCAGAAATTGTGGTTTTCCATATTTGTCTGAAATTCATACAGATAATAAAACTTGAATCCATTGCTTTAAACTCCCAAAACAAATTTTAAATAAGATGCATTTGGTAAAAAAGCAAAGGTCTGAGAAGAGCAAAGAACTGCAAGATCACAAAGCCAGTTTTATATGCCATTTTCTTTAATACAAGTGGTTTTGTTGTTCAAATTCTTATTCAGGGAAGCAGTTCAATTTCTGGAGGAGTCTAGAATGCAAAATTTTTGCAAAAAATCGAAAGCTTTTTGAGAGGAAGGAACCAGATTCAGGAATCCACTACATAAAATTTCTTCATGACAGCGTCCAAACCCAGGCGTCCTAAGAGTACAGGAGTTTGGGGGATGAATAGAAACTTAATGTTTTGTCACACCAATTATATTCGCCAGATCTTTCACCCTTTTATTTGTTTCATTTTCCAATCTTGACAAAAACACCTTTGAGAAAGGTAAACCAAGTCCAGGAAATCATAGGATCTGCAATATTTCAGTATACGAAGAGTCATAGTCAAAAATGTGTTATAAAAACAATTAGAAATTGGATAAAAATATTACGGACACGTGTTTTAATTAAAAGAGAACATTTAAGTTAAATCAGTAAAACTAAATGATTGAAAAGCGTTTTTCGTTTCTTTCCAAGCACCGAGGACATTATTTATTGAACAGCCCTCGTATATCGAGTCAACATATGAATGAAAGTAACTATTGTTAATAGATAATACGTCTTTAATATATCAAAATGTCAAGTTGAGCCACAGCAAGTGTTCTTTTTTTCTTCTCAGAAGATTTTGAAAATAATTCTGCCTTGTTCAGGTTTGAATAAAAAAGAAAAGTATTCTGTAAAGGAATAAAAAGCTGTTAATTATTATCACAGGTAAGCTTTGTCAAATATATGATATCTCAATTTATAAAATGCAAAAGACCACAGCATAAGATTTTGTTGTAAATACATGTCCAATAACGGGCATGTAAATATAAAAATGTATAGGGTATATGAGTGTTGAAAAATAAATAAGAAATATCAAAAATGAAACCTGAATAAAAATACAGAGTAAACATCAATGTCAAATATTTTTAACATAAACCAAAAAAATGTTTAACTTTCTAATAAATTATGACTTTTGTTACTAGCAATATAGACTCAGTTATGCTACTGGACTGCAAAAACATGTAATTGCTTAAACATTACTAAGTCAAAGAGACTGTGCACAGAAAAATTATCTGTATTTTTATGATAGGTAACAATTACCTTTCTCATTACATATTTCACTGAAGAGAGAAAATTTACTCATTGAGAAAAATATTTTGACAATTCTCATAGGATTTTGGTATATACTACCCTAATACAAGATTGTAAGATAAAACTTGCAATATTGCATAATTTGACACTTTCTATGTCAGAGGTACTATTCTTTTAATCTATTGCACATTCTAGTAGAATGGTTGTATACAGTATATATTTTCTAAATTTTCATCTTAAAGCATCTTGTGTAGATGTAACATGCTAGCACTGCTTTAATTAGGTAAAAATCTATCGAATGCCACATTTAATCTGACAATATCCAACTGTCTTTACGACTCCTTATTCATTTCTTTTTCTGCTTCCTCTAGAAGATTCCACATAGTTAAAATCTAAAAAAAAAAAAGAAAAAAAATAATGTAAAATTTAGAACCAGGAAGTAAAACATGAATAAAGCATACTCCCTGCTATTTATATGCCCCAAGCCCACCCCCTATCTAGTCAAGAAAAGATATTCATCAGTTTATTTTAACTACCCAAATGTGTTTTAACATTAACAACACCTTTACTTACAATGTAATATAATTATGTTAATGATATTCTTTTAAATTAATTCATGATAATGAATTTTTCATATTTACCTTTTGTTGTATATCTGTTTGATCATTATTACCATCCATATTAGCTTTTTCTTTTGCTTGTGTGCAATATTTCTTGGCCTCTTCAATGTCACCAACCATTGCAAGACAGTAACAAACCTTCATGCACAAAGAAAATAAATGGAATTTGTAAAACTGGTATTTTTTGTTACTTTTTTTGGCTTGAATTTTAACCCTCCTGGGTGTCATGATTTGAACAATGTACAATCTACACTACCTGAGGATGATTCCATATAAATAGAAAAATATCACTAATCATGGTTTTGAAGTACTTGAAAAGAAGATTTTAAAAGGTTTCCCTATATATCCTTATGTACAACTTTGGTCAGCCATTTTGGGCCCAAAACTAGCCCCAGAGGTCATGATTTGAACAAGCTTGAATCTTCACTAACTGAGGATGATTCCACATAAGTTTCGTCTTTCCTGGCCCAGTGGTTCTGGAGAAGAAGATTTTTAAAGTTTTTCCTATATATTCCTATGTAAAACTTTGTCAGCCATTTTGGCCCCAAAGGGGTCATGATTTGAACAAAATTGAATCTACACTACCTGAGGATGATTCCACATGAGTTTCATCTTTCCTGGCACAGTGGTTCTTGAGAAAAAGATTTTTAAAGATTTTTCCTATATATTCCCATGTAAAACTTTGGTCGGCCATTTTGGCCAGTTTGAATCTACACTACCTGAGAATGATTCCACATGAGTTTCATCTTTCCTGGCCCAGTGGTTCTTAAGAAGAGGATTTTTAAAGATTTTTCCTATATATTCCTATGTAAAACTTTGGTCGGCCATTTTGGCCCCACCCTAGCCCCGGGGATCATGATTTGAACAAATTTGAATCTACACTACCTGAGGATGATTCCACATGAGTTTCATCTTTCCTGGCCCAGTGGTTCTTGAGAAGAAGATTTTTTAAAAATGCTATTAATTTTTCACTAATTCATTGGAAGAGGTCGTGGCCCTTCATTTTAACAATCTTGAATCCCCTTCACCCAGGGATACTTTGTGCCAAGTTTGGTTGAAATTGGCGCAGTGGTTCTTGAGAAAAAGATGAAAATGTGAAAAGTTTATGACAACGACAACGACGGACAAATTTTGATCAGAAAAGCTCACTTGAGCCTTCGGCTCAGGTGAGCTAAAAATTATATAGTCCTCCAAAAACTTAGATGTTATTGAAGATGTTGAATCAATGACTTTCTCAAGAGAATTTCTATTAATTTTTAAAAAATACAAAAATTATTTGGAATATAAATTGGATAATGGCAAACAAGTATCTCAAGAACCTGTTGATGAAGTTACAACAAACTTCTATATAACTTCTTAAAAATGTCTTATACATGTAAATGTGTATTTTAAAATCTATAATTGAAATGTTCTTGCAGAGATTTATAGGTGAATGTCATTGGGTTTTATGGAGAATTTCCGGATATTTTTTTTAATAAGATACACATGAAGAGGGAAATGAAATTGAAGGTGTAAGGGAAGGGGAAGGTAGAGGTACAAAAAACTATGACACACATTTATTGATCTTACCAATGTGTATCAGTACTATGAGTATCACTTAATCTCCTATTGAGGACTCATCCTACCCCAGGAGTCATTTGATCATTCTTTAATCTTCATAATTGAAGATGCTTTCATATTAATATTATTAATCATGGCTTTGTTGATCTTGAGAAGACTTTCTCAGGTCTTTCCCTCTAAATTCATACATAAATGTTTTATTTTCTATTGTGGTCCTGCCTTGTCCCCACAGGTGCACGTTGGAGGAAATATAAATACTATAGTATAAATAAACTACACTATCTGATGAGGCTTCCTTATTTCAAATGTGACTCATCTTGATTTTTTTGTTTTGTTTGTTTGTTTTTGCATTTTTTTTAGAAGAAGCTTTTTAAGGAACCTTTCCCTTATACATATCCTGTATTCAAATGTTAAACTCTGATCCAAGATGTGACCCAACCAGGGCCAACTCCATCATGCTTCAACCCCCACCCTCTTTATATTGTCAGATATTCTGTGTAAAGTTTGCTAAAAATAGGATTTGTGGTTCCATAGACGATGGAACAATGAAAATTTTTCAAATAATGACAGGCAACATACAATTTTATCAGAATATGTTGCATGTATTTCAGCTTTTGGTTAAATGGAGTTAAAAATCAATAATTATGGGGGTGAATGTCATATAAAAGGTAGAGATCAGAAGATAGTGGGTTCAAGGCAAGGCTGTGAAAGTCCAAAATTGATAAAAAATAAGAAAAAACTGCTCAATGGCCCTGATTGCCAAGCAAAGGTCAACCTTTTAACTGTTTACTGGTGTATAGTGGTGTCTCCATGGTTTAAATTTTTCAAACATAAAACACATAAATGTATCAATCATTCGTATTTCTAAGTCAGAAGACATGACAACACAATAGCATATACCCCAGCCATTTTCATGGCAGGGCTTAATAATACCCACTTTTAAATATGGTTGTGGGTTATCCTTGTCTTGTTCTGCCCACTGTTTGTAGTATCTTAAAGCTTTCTCTGGCTGTTTCTCTCTTTCATAACTTTCCGCAGTGTTTCTCACACAGTTCTACAGAAAAAGAGATAAATTTAAATAAAATTTAAACAAGCAAAATATCGGGAAAATGTTAAGACTTTAAAAAAAAATAAAGACTTACATACAAAACAATAGCTATTAAAATACCCCACATATTATGTACCTCTCTAAATAAGCAGTATGCAAATTAAAGAAATGTGAGGTCAAGGTCAAAGGAAAGTTCAAGGTTAAATGTTTTGATGCAGCTGAATAGCTTTCACTAGTACTAAAAGTATATTAAGTTTGATAACATTATCTTGAATTGTTTCTTTAAAACTGAGTAATTTGAGAAAAGTAAAGTCAAAGGAAAGGTCAAGATCAAAAAAGGCTGATGCAGTTGAGTACCTTATTTCAGTATGTGTCAGCTTGTGGTGTTTGATTACACTATCTTGAATGGTTCTTTCCCTACTGAGCTAAACAGTAATTTGGGAAAAGTGAGGTCATGGCCACAAGAAAGGTCAGGGTAAAAAAAATGTTCATGCTTTTGAAGAGCTCTTATCAATATGTATCAGTATATAACATTTGATAAAAAAAAATTATGAATACTTTCTTTGAAATTGAACTTTGAACTAAGTTAAATGGAAAATGCAACTGAAGGACAGATGGATGGTCAGAAGACAGACATGACAAACTCTATATTCCCCAGTCATATTCATGGTGGAGCATAACCAAAATGAAATTGTTTTTCTCCATCCCACAAATAATAATTTAATTCCATTTTTTGGAACTAACCAGAAAGCATTCCACGTCATTCTCTGGCAGATGATTCAGAGCATTGATGTTGAATTCAAGAAACATCTTATTGTTGAATATTTTTGATGTTGCAAACATCTCCCAGACAAAGTTCAACAGATTACCAAAGTTATAGATCCGTGGACACACATCATTGAATGAATCAATAAGTGTCCCTGAATTCCCTGCATCAATCAGATTTCTAAATTTATATTCCAGTAGACGTCTGTCTGCAGGCCATCTAAAATGTATTAGAGCAACTAGTTACTAGGCACTTCAAAAATTTGAAGAGTATCATGTATTTTAAGTATCATTTTTTAAAATCATTTTACATACTTCCTAAAACATTAATAATTTAACAAATAGGTTGTGTAAGACATTATTATAAAACTAAAATACAAACTTCTGAAGTGCCTCATCAACAGACATGGCCCCTTCACTCCAATCTGCTTTTGGTGCCCTTTCACCAGGATTATTAAGTCTCTTGTTAACTTCATCAAGATAGACATAATATATTGGAATGACAATTTTGGTTTTGATTAATGTTTTGAGAATTCTTTGAGAAACTTCATCTTGTTTGGTCTGTATTAGGTATTTCACAATGTCAGCATGCACCAATGGCAATGTTCCATTTATAAGGTGTACATTGCCACTGTTCATTTCTTTCTCCAAAAACTCAACTGAAAAGAGCCAGAAAATTAGGTAGCTTCTTATCTGTTTTGTTGGTAGATTTTTAACTTACTAATAGAGGCATTCTTCTATGGTTTGTAAACAATTAATACTCTGCAAAAGTATCAAAATTTCATTGCAAATTAAAGAAAGATTTTGATAATATCAATTAAAAACACAGGTGGACATTGCAAACTTTTTACTTTTTTTACGCTATTTTTTTTTCAAGATAATGTTTTTAAAATGGTCAAAAACCTAACTCACAAAATGGTATGTATAATTCTACAACATCTGCCATCCTGTTTGAATTAATCAAATTCAAAATGATGTTTTCTCTGCATCTTGCATAATTAACATCATTTTCTGGAGTCCCACTTTCCTGTTAAGTATGAAGAGAGAATACAACAAATGACATTAAGGACTTTAGAATTCAGAAAAATGATACTATGATGGATTAATTGAAGTTATAACTTTATTTTAAATGAAGTATATTTAATTAAAAGTTTCAAAGAGTGTTTTATTTTTTTTAAAGATTTTGGCTGAGAAAATGCTAAATGTATTTCATTGTTGTTCATACTAGTTGGCTCTGTCCAAAATTTTGAATATCCTGTAAATTTCTGCTAAATAAATTTGGAAAATTCTGCTGACCCTGTCAATTTCTGTTTTATTACTCTCTAAAATTCTCCTTGCCCTGTTAAGTTCTGTTTACCTAGGGCTGACAAATCTCAATGCACAACACCTAAGGCTAGTGAATTTTAGAGCGCAAATGAATTTTTAACAGGCATATGTTCATGGCCAAGTGAAAAAAAAAATTGCTCAATACTTAAAAATGAATTAGATTTACATGAACAAAAAATAGTTATAATATGTATTCAACTTTGTATAATGTTATTCCAAACATTTATTTATAAGTTAACTCATAAAATATTGTAATTTAAAAGAGAGATACTGTTTTTCTAATAAAAACATCTTTCTTAGCATTTATGAAAAGGGGAATAACTCGATTTTCTTTCTCAAATTGGAAAAATAGAAAATTGAGTTATTTCCCTTTTCAATATGTCAATAAATTTAATCAATGCGGCTGTTTTTGAACTGATGCGGCGGTGCCTGATAAACTATTGATTTTTTTTTTTTTGGCCTTAAAATAATACTTTGTCATCATGTACCTTTTTAAATTGATTTCAATTCTGAAAGTTTTAAGAAAATTTAACTAAAAATGACAAACTGGCATTGGAAAAATGGAGAAATGTTTTAATAATTATGAGATGGAATAATGATAAGATGCTGCTATTAATAACAATGTTAGCAACAGAACCACAAAACCACTGAGGCTAAGCTTCTCATACATGAGAAAAAGAATGGAATTCTTAACAGACAACATTAATGGCTATAGTTTTAATAATTGAGATAGCAACATAAATAGTAATGGTGTTTACTGTTGGGAGTTTTCAAATGTTGCCAATATTCATAGCACACTCTAGAATGCATTTTCCCTTGATTATGAATTTATTCCTTACCATGAAAATTAAGTACTGGAAAGTGGACAACAATAAAAGAATTAAATGGAATTCATTTTGAGATTTTGGATGAAATTGAAACTATTTTGTCATAGATTATAAGAGTTATCTTTATTTTACAGTTCATGGTCAAAAAATATTTTTTTCATCTGTTATCCACTATTACCTGAAAGATTTTGTTTACTGGTACTGGTACCCTATGAGTTTCTGCTTATCTTGTAAATTTCTTTCTACATACCTTGTAAATTTTGACAAACCTTGTAAATTTCGACAAACCTTGTAAATTTCTATATACCCTGTAAATTTTGACAAACCTTGTGAATTTCTACATACCCTGTAAAATTTTACAAACCCTGTAAATTTCTACTCACCCTGTAGATCTCTGCTGCTAACTGGTTATATTCCAGAGCCTTTTGATAGTTGTTCTTTGATGTCTCTATGAAGCTTAAGGACACGTAAGTTTGACAAAGAAGAGGGTGACGATTACCTACTGTGTTTCTCTTCACATCAAGAGACCTGATCAAAATTTAAAAAATTCTCCTAGGGACATTTTGTACCAGCCTAAATACATTTCTTGGCCATTCTTAATATTTAACCCACTTTAATGCAGCAACTTGAATGTACTGCTTTTATTTAAGGTTAATATACTACAAAATTTGCTACAGATTGCAGTGAAAGTGTGTATAAATCTCTTATTATATGCTAAAGACAAATGTTGACTTACATCTGGTAATATTTCTCAGCGTTATCGACTTGATTCAGCCTCCTGCAGCAGACTCCCAAGTCGTTATATAGCAGTCCTAAGCTTAATGGCTGATGGCCAAAAAACACCTCTTTTGTTAACTAGATGAAGATTTATAAAATGACAAAAATATATTTATCAGTGCCATTTTCATCTAAATTTGACTGTATTATATATAGACCATTATAACAAGACTGAAGTTATCAACAAATCCATTATACATGTATATGCGTGCATTTTTTTGTTCCTCAATCTACTTGTGAAAAACTACCCATTCTGATTTTGATAATCAGGGAACTGCATTTCATTGATAATAATGAGCAACACACAATATTATGATGGTATATTGGTATACATGTCCTTGAAAATCAGTATTCCTCCAAATTATAAACATTTTTCAAGTAAACACCCTAATAATCGATTCTTAAAATGATTAGTGATTTTAACTTAGAATAACTTGTGAACCTGACATGTGCAGATCTAACAAATTATGTTTAAAATGAAGCAAAATTATACTACATAATCTACTGACATTTTCAATCAGATCAATCTTCTTTATTCTAGCTTGTAAAAATAAAGATGAAGATTTATTTCATTTTATTAATTATACAGAAAAAGGCCTTTGACAATTTAGTTGTGGGAGTTTATCCTTTTAATATTTTGAAGAGCATGAAAAATGCTGGAGTCTTTTATAGAAGATGCAGCCTCACCTGAATTGCCTCTTCAAAATGTTCCATAGCCTTGTGATAATCCCCTGTTGCCAGGCAAATATTGCCCAAATTCTGATAGCAACTCGCCATATCATTTTTTGCATTCCCTATCTTTGCACATTCCAAAGACTTTTTCAAATACTCCTCAGCCTGTGAAAAAAAAGGGAAGATACATTTGAAATTTAAGTTTATAGTTTAAATATGCACAAAAACTAAATACTAAGAGCTTTTTAGCTCACCTGAGCCGAAGGCTCAAGTGAGCTTTTCTGATCACATTTTGTCCGTCGTCCGTCCATCCGTCCGTCTGTAAACTTTTCACATTTTCGACTTCTTCTCAAGAACCACTGGGCCAATTTTGACCAAACTTGGTACAAAGCATCCTTGGGTGAAGGGAAATTTAAATTGTTAAAATGAAGGGACATATCCCCTCGCAAGGGGAGATAATCAAGAAAAGACAAAAATAGGGTTGGGTCATTAAAAAATCTTCTACTCAAGAACCACTTGGCCAGGAAAGCCGAAACTTATGTGTCAGCATCCTGGGGTAGTGTAGATTCTAAATTGTTCAAATCATGACCCCCAGGGGAAGGGTGGGGCCACAATGGGGAATCAAAGTTTTATATAGAAATATATAGGAAAAATCTTTGAAAATCTTCTTCTCAAGAACCACTGGTCCAGAAAAGCTGAAACTTATGTGGAAGCATCCTGGTATAATGTAGATTCTAAATTGTTCAAATAATGACCCCCAGGGGAAGGGCGGGGCCACAATGGGGAATCAAAGTTTTATATAGAAATATAGAGGAAAAATCTTTGAAAATCTTCTTCTCAAGAACCACTGTGCCAGAAAAGCTGAAACTTATGTGGAAGCATCCTGGTATAGTGTAGATTCTAAATTGTTCAAATCATGACCCCCGGGGGAAGGGTGGGGCCACAATGGGGAATCAAAGTTTTATATAGAAATATATAGGAAAAATCTTTGAAAATCTTCTTCTCAAGAACCACTTGGCCAGAAAAGCTGAAACTTATGTGGAAGCATCCTGGTATAATGTAGATTCTAAATTGTTCAAATCATGACCCCCGGGGGAAGGGTGGGGCCACAATGGGGAATCAAAGTTTTATATAAAAATATATAGGAAAAATCTTTGAAAATCTTCTTCTCAAGAACCACTGGGCCAGAAAAAGTTAAGCTTATGTGGAAACATTCTGGGGTAGTGTAAATTCTAAATTGTAGGAATCATGACCCCCGGGGGAAGGGTGGGGCCATTATAGGGAATCAAAGTTTTACATAGAAATATATAGGAAAAATCTTTGAAAATCTTCTTCTCAGGAACCACTGGGCCAAAAAAGCTGAAACATATATGCCCATGGAAGGATCATGGGGTAGTGTAGATTTCAAAATGTCTAAATTATGATCAGTGGGGTAGGGTTGGGATGCATTATGTATAACAAGGGGGAAATCTGGTAAAGAACAGAATGGTCAAAGCTTCTCAGGTGAGCGATGTGGCCCATGGGCCTCTTGTTAAAAAATTCTTCTGTTAGGCCTATTGCAGTGAAATGTTTGAAAATTTTTAGTGTTGTAAAATCAGACGAATTTTAATAACCAGTTACTCGCTTCATCTTCCTATTGAGTACCCGGTTAAGGTGTAATATCCCTCTGATAAGAGAGATAACTTTCTGGAGACATTTTTCCATAAATTTCAGTGGATTGTCAACTTTCTGTAGACATTTCTCCATGAAATTCAGTGAATTCTCAATTTAGATTTTACAGATTTCATTAATATGGACCATTTTATAGTCAACTCAATCAAATCTATTCTATAGTACAGATGTTGATTTCTAGTTTCTATTGCCAATCTTTTTATTAATTATTTATAATAGTTTACTTAAAACATTTTTACTCAGTTCCTTTAAACGATGTAATTAATTTAAGATAGTTCTATATCTTAATGTATAAGTCATTTAATTGTTACAGAAATTTCAGATGCAGAATTGATTATAAACATTAAATGATTATTTTTTTTTCACTAAATATATTTTCAAGGGCGATAATTGAAAGATAATCCTTGTTGATGGATGCATAATTATTATTTTACAAGCATGGAAAACAATTCCGATTTAAAAAGCAACGCTTCAGTGAGTATGTTTTCTAATGAGAATTAGATAGGTATGATAGTGAATATTATTTTCATGTAAACCTCATATTTCTAATTTTAATTTATTATGAGATAACAAATTATTGATATCTTTATTTACCATATCAAAATTTCTTCACATTATGTTTTGACATAATATTCATTTCTAAAAAAAGTAAGCAATGCTTCATACTTCAAGCTACTTGTAATTGTATCAAAAATTGTATATGCTTCAGATTCATATTGATTGTCCCATGCATGTTTGGTCACCATAAGGAATATACAGTCTGTAGTTCCTTGGAAATGAGCATGCATGCTCTAAAAACTTAGACCTGATCACTCATCTGGAAAATGTAGGTCAGATCCAGGATCTGAAAGATGCATGGTAGTGTGCATCATCCATGGAAGTAAATGGTTATCATAGTTGATCTTTTTCTCATCAGAGATCTGTGGTAGTAAGTGGACATCATAATTAGGGTTCAAAATGCCCTTAAGCTAGTCTGGATCAACTAAGGGCTGCCTTGTCGGAAGAGTTGAACAATATCCCTATTGGAAGGATATAAACACAATGATGAACACAGTGCAAAGGAGAATCAAGGCTGTGGCAGTACTAGTTGCACGGAGACATGTGAGATTATGAGAATTTCAATTTTTAACTTATGGGGGGTATATAGGGCTTTCATATGAGTTTCTTAAAGTCATGAATTATTGGTCAAAATTGAATTAGATTTCATTTACAATTTATTTGAATTGATATCTTAAATGTTAGATAGGAATAATGGAAGATATGTCTATACATGTATACATTTTTCCCTCAAAGAGTTAACCCTGCATTTCTTTTTCTTTTCAATATATTTACATTTTCACTTAATCCTTGATTGAAAAAAAAGTATTTTCAATATTTCCAATATTTTCTAAGCTTCACAGTAAGACAGTTTATTGTTCAGTGTCACAAGTTGAGCAAATCACTTTGTGAAGATATAAAATTATTACTTTATTTCTAGATTAAGCTCAACTGAAAAACATTCGAAAATGTGACGGGAAGTCTGTGAGCCAATGTTCACAAGTAATACCCCCACTCTGATGTGAATATACACTATCATAATAATAAACACAAGTAAAGTTACTGGCAGTAGAATGGATAAATAAGAAGATGACATCAGATTCACACAAAAATATATCGCATATCATATGGCATGCCTCAACAAAGAGTGTGCTAAAATTTCAAGCATCTGTGATTAGTAGTTGCTAAGAAAACTGCAACCAAAATTTGTTATGTATGGTAAGGACAGATGCACAGATGAACACGAAGTTGACACCAGATTTAAACAAAAATGAATCCCATCATATGGCATGCCTCAGCAAAGAATGTGCTTAAATTTCAAGCATCTGCAATGAGTAGTTGCTGAGAAAACTGTTACGAAAATTTGTTATGTATGTTACGGACAGACGCACGGATGAACAGGAAGTTTTTTTATAATACATTTATTTCCAATAACATACAACAAATATTGAGGTAAAACTTCTGCAGAAGCCCTCTGTTTATACCTCACTTGAGGTGCCAGGAGCTCCCTGGATCGGTATTATTTTTCATTATTCAATTTACAAAACTATACACAATAGAAAAAAAAACCCAGAAGTCTCTGTCGAGACTGTAGCTCTACTGGTTTGTACTTATAATAAAGGAAGAGAAAAGTAGTTGGGACTTAAAACTTTACAAAAGCAATAAATAGAATAATGATCCTTGATTAAGTCTCTTTGGCCTTTTAAAATACCAATCTTTTTATATCTCGCCAATAAGTCGGACATAGAGTTTTGGACCAAAGTTTAACTCCAAAAAAGCCGACTTATAGGTGAGTATATACGGTATTTCAGAGAAATTTCTATTTTTAGTAACCAAGGCTTCATTGTTCATCAAAATCAAAAACTGATACTAGTATATAGAATAATGTATCTTAGTGAAGTCTACTTGTGTGCCAGGTTATACTGGAATCAGACCAAAACTGTAGGTGGAGTAGCATTTTGAATGTTTTTTCACAGAAATTTCTATTTTTTAGTAACCACTGCAACACCATTCAATGAAATCAAAAACCTATATACAGATTTATGTACCTTAGTGTAGTCTACTTGTGTGCCAAGTAATACTGATATCAGACCAAAACTAGGAGTAGCATTTTGAATGTTTTTCCACAGAAATTTCTAGTTTAAGTAACCACGGCAACACCGTTCAATGAAATCAAAAACCGATATACAAATTTATGTATCTTTGTGTGGTCTACTTGTGTACCAAGTTATACTGAAATCAGACCAAAACTGTAGGAGGAGTAGTATTTTGAATGTTTTTCACAGAAATTTCTATTTTTAGTAACCACGCTAACATCATTCATGGAAATCAAAAACTGACAAATAGATTTATGTATCTTAGCGTTGTCTACTTGTGTTCCAAGTTATATTGAAATCAGACCAAAACTGTAGGAGGAGTAGCATTTTGAATGTTTTTTCACAGAAATGTCTATTTTTAGTAAACATGGCAACACCGTTCATCGAAAACAAAAACCTATATACAGATTTATGTATCTAAGTATAGTCTACTTGTGTGCCAAACAATACTGGTATCAGACCAAAACTGTAGGTGGAGTAGCACTTTGAATGTTTTTTCAAAGAAATTTCTATGTTTAGTAATCACGGCAACACCGTTCAATGAAATTAAAACCAGAAGTCTCTGTCGAGACTGAAGCTCTACTGGTTTGTTCTTATAGCAAAGGAAGCGAAAAATACTTAAGCAGTTGGGAATTGAAACTTTATAACAGCAATAAATAGAATAATGATCCTTGATTAAGTCTTTCTATGTTCTTAGTGTAGTCTACTTGCATGCCACATTATATTATAATCAGACTAAAACTGTATTTGAGTGGTATTTTGAAAGTATTAAACAGAAATTTCTATTTTTAGTAATCAAGGCAATGATGTTCATCGAAGTCTAAATCACATATACAGAATTGTGTATCTTAGTGAAGTCTACTTGTGTGCCAAGTTATATTGAAATCAGTTCAAAACTGTAGGAGGAGTAGCATTTTGAAAGAATTTCACAGAAATTTCTATTTTTAGTAACCACGGCAACACCGTTCATTGAAATCAAAAACCGATACACAGAATTATGTATCTTAGTGTAGTCTACTTGTGCGCCAAGTTATACTGAAATCAGTCAAAAACTGTAGGAGGAGTAGCATTTTGAAAGAATTTCACAGAAATTTCTATTTTTAGTAACCACGGCAACAACATTCATCGAAATCAAAAACCGATATACAGAATTATGTATCTTAGTGTAGTCTACTTGTGCGCCAAGTTATATTGAAATCAGTCAAAAACTGTAGGAGGAGTAGCATTTTGAAAGAATTTCACAGAAATTTCTATTTTTAGTAACCATGGCAACACCGTTCATCAAAATCAAAAACCGATACACAGAATTATGTATCTTAGTGTAGTCTATTTATGTGCCAAGTTATATTGAAATCAGTCAAAAACTGTAGGAGGAGTAGCATTTTGAAAGAATTTCACAGAAATTTCTATTTTTAGTAACCATGGCAACACCGTTCATCAAAATAAAAAACCGATATACAGAATTATGTATCTTAGTGTAGTCTACTTGTATGCCAAGTTATATTGAAATTAGACCAAAACTGTAGGAGGAGTAGCATTTTGAAAAATTGTTTACAGACAGACAGAGAGACAGACAGACGGACAGACGGACGGACGCTGGACGCATTACTATCGCATAAGCTCTTCTGGTCTCTGACCAGTAGAGCTAAAAAATTTATATAGATTTATGTATCTTAGTGTGGTCTACTAATGCCAAGTTATATTGAAATCAGACCAAAACTGTAGGAGGAGTAGCATTTTAAATGTTTTTCACAGAAATTTCTATTTTTAGTTACCACGGCAACACCGTTCCTTGAAAACAAAAACCTATACACAGATTTATGTATATTAGTGTAGTCTACTTGTGTGCTAAGTTATATTGAAATCAGACCAAAACTGTAGGAGGAGTAGCATTTTGAATGCTTTTCACAGAAATTTCTATTTTTAATAACCATGGCAACACCATTCATCAAAATCAAAAACAAATACACAGAATTTTGTATCTTAGTGGAATCTACTTGTGTGCCAAGTTATATTGAAATCAGACCAAAACTGTAGGAGGAATAGCATTTTGAATGTTTTTTCACAGAAATGTCTATTTTTAGTAACCACAGCAACACTGTTCAACGAAATCAAAAACTGAAATAAAGAAATATGTATCTTAGTGTAGTCTACTTGTGTGCCAAGTTATATTGAAATCAGACCAAAACTGTAGGTGGAGTAGCATTTTGAATGTTTTTTCATAGAAATGTCTATTTTTAGTAAACATGGCAACACCGTTCATCGAAAACAAAAACCTATACACAGATTTATGTATCTAAGTGTAGTCTACTTGTGTGCCAAACAATACTGATATCAGACCAAAACTGTAGGAGGAGTAGTATTTTGAATGTTTTTTCACAGAAATTTCTATTTTTAGTAACCACGGTAACACCGTTCAATGAAATAAAAAAACCTTTATATAGATTTATGTATCTTAGTGTGGTCTACTTGTGCCAAGTTATATTGAAATCAGACCAAAACTGTAGGAGGAATAGCATTTTGAATGTTTTTTCACAGAAATGTCTATTTTTAGTAACCACGGCAACACTGTTCAACGAAATCAAAAACTGAAATAAAGAAATATGTATCTTAGTGTAGTCTACTTGTGTGCCAAACAATACTGATATCAGACCAAAACTGTAGGAGGAGTAGTATTTTGAATGTTTTTTCACAGAAATTTCTATTTTTAGTAACCACGGTAACACCGTTCAATGAAATAAAAAACCTTTATATAGATTTATGTATCTTAGTGTGGTCTACTTGTGCCAAGTTATATTGAAATCAGACCAAAACTGTAGGAGGAATAGCATTTTGAAAACATTTCACAGAAATTTCTATTTTTAGTAACCACGGCAACACTGTTCAACGAAATCAAAAACTGAAATAAAGAAATATGTATCTTAGTGTAGTCTACTTGTGTGCCAAGTTATATTGAAATCAGACCAAAACTGTAGGTGGAGTAGCATTTTGAATGTTTTTCATAGAAATGTCTATTTTTAGTAAACATGGCAACACCATTCATCAAAATCAAAAATTAATAAAAAAAATTTTGTATCTTAGTGGAATCTACTTGTGTGCCAAGTTATATTGAAATCAAACCAAAACTGTAGGAGGAGTAGCATTTTGAATGTTTTTTCACAGAAATGTCTATTTTTAGTAACCACGGCAACACTGTTCAACAAAATCAAAAACTGAAACAAAGAATTATGTATCTTAGTGTAGTCTACTTGTGTGCCAAGTTATATTGAAATCAGACCAAAACTGTAGGAGGAGTAGCATTTTGAATGTTTTTTCACAGAAATGTCTATTTTTAGTAACCATGGCAACACCATTTAAAGCATCTACGATGAGTAGTTGCTGAGAAAACTGCGACCAAAAAATTATTACAGACACACTGACAGACTGCTAGACAGACAAACAGACACACAAGGGTAAAACAGTATACACCCCTCCCCTCTCCTTTGGAACGGGGGTATAAATATATGCAATTATAAACTGACCTTTTCATAATCTGCTGTGATTTGATAATTTGTGCCAATTCCATTGTAAGAGTGACCTAATTTTGCCAAGTCTGACTTGTCTGCAGTTGACATATCTGGTACTCTCCTAAAATGAACAAAATAAATAGAAACACAAAGCAGTGATCTAAATAAATCCCCAACACTAATTAGATTATCTTAGATTAGATGGTCAATGTTTTTATCAATAAAATTGATCATAGGAAATATTAAAAAGATCATAACTGAATAAAATTGTATCACTTACTTTTCTCGAATTTCTAGCACCTGTTGGTGAATCTCAGTACTCTTCTGCAGTTTGCTATTGTGATGATACACGACTGCTAGCATGTACAAAGCCTCTTCCCTTGTCAAATTCTTTGATTTGTTGACTTCATTGTACTAAAATCACAAAAGGAGAGTTCCTAGGTTTTTATTCTTTTCTTTTTAATTTATAATGGCACATAGTGTACTACCACTAACATGAGTTTGCACAAAGATAAGGCCTCCATGTAAATTTTCACTCTATGAAAATGTTTAAACAAACTGTGAACATCAATACTTGTATTAGTGGGGGTATTTGTCACTTTTGGACAGTTCTATACTTCTCAAACTTGTTTTATTCTACATTTTATTTAAACAAGAGGCCCAAGGGCCTTATAGGTCACCTGAGTATCATGTAACAACAACCATTGTGCACCCCTTCCCACAGGAACCACTAACCCTGGGGCCACATATTTCAAAATTTTGGAAATTTTATTATAACTTTTATTTCATCATAAAAGGTTGATTAAAACCAAAGAGCAGATTTCAAAGCATTAAATTATTTTCAGACTAAGTACCCCCTCCCCCTGGTATGCCTGACCCAAGGGCAGTGAAATTAATCATTTTGAAAGAGGCACATTACTTTATCATAAATATGTACTTCCATCATTGGAAAATTACCCAGGAGCAAAGGAAAAGATTTTCAAAGAATTGTTGCATTTTCACTATATAATCAATAGAGCCCTGCCCTAACACCAGAAACCCCTGACCCAAGGGCCATAAAATTCACATATTGGGAAGAATCATCCTTCCTCATCATAACTATGTATATACAGTAATTCATTGGTTTAAAACCCAGGAGCAGAGAAGGAGATTTTTAAAGAATTGATGCATTTTTACTATATAATCAATAGAGCCCGGCTCTAACACCAAAACCCCTGACCCACGGGCCATAAAATTCACAATTTTGGAAGAGCCACTCTTGTTCAACATAAACATCTACTAAGTTTATTCAATACCCAGGAGCAACGAAGAAAATCTTTAAAGAATAAATGTATTTTCACTATATTATAAATAGAGCCCTGCCCTAACACCAGAACCTCCAACCCAGGGGCCATGAAATTCACAATTTTTAAAGAGACATTCTTGCTCATAATAACTTTGTACCTGGTTAGTTTATTTAATACATGTACCCAGGAGCAGAGAAGAAGATTTTCAAAGAATTTATGCATTTTCACATTATAATCAGTAGAGCCCCGCCCTAACACCACAACCTCGACCCTGGGGCCATGAAATTCTCAATTTTGAAAGAGGCACTCTTGGTCATCATAACTTTGTACTCAGCTAGTTTGTTTAACATCCATGAGCAGAGGAGAAGATTTTCAAAGAAATAATGCATTTTCACTATATATTCTATATAGCCCCACCCTAGCACTAGAATCCCTGCCCTGGGGCCATGAAATTTCACAATTTTGGTAGAGGACTCAATACTGATTACAATCATGCCAACAGTTTGACTGCTTGATGCCGCCCAGGAGTAAAGAAGGAGATTTTTAAAGACTGCATTAATTTCAGTGGTTTTGGCCCTACCCCTCAGGCCCCAGGGGGGCAGGGGCCATGAATTTCACAATTTTTGTTCCCCTTCACCCATAAATGCTATATGCCAAAATTGGTTGAAATTGGCTCAGTGGTTCCAGAGAAGAAGCTGAAAATGTTCCAAAGTTTACCATCAATTGACGACGAACGACGTACGATGAACTATACGATGAACGATATATGACGACGGACAAAAACAGATAGCAATAGGTCACCTGAGTTTTACTCAGGTGACCTAAAAAATTCATGTCAGTGTCAATTTTCATATCTAGAACAAGTTAGTTTGTAATACCGTATAGCGGGTTTTCTTGGCGGTTGTAAAATTTGGCGTTATGCTTGCTCAAAGGTATATGCCAATAATTTTGGCGAAATTTATTTTAGCTGACACAGAGTTTCAGCGGTTTGCAGATTAACACTAAGATGAGTATTGACTATTTTTAGCGATTAAAATTTTAGCGGGCTACCATCAAAACGCCTAAATAAGCTAAAATTAGCACCCCGCTAAAATAACCCGCTATACGGTATTTGTAATGTAATGTAATAAGTGATATTTTCTCTAATTTCTCTGCCAAAAAAATGTACAAAAGATATATTTTAACACTGTTGTACTTACATTTTTTGCATTAATGTCCAGAATTCTCTCCAAGACTTTTTCACACCCATTAAAATAATGGACGTAATCAAGCAATCTGTTAATATTCCAGAGATCATCTATTACCTTTAAAAAGGAAAGAATAAGGTTTGCATCCCAAATAAAAAGTAAGTTATTAAAATAATAAAGGCAATAAAATTCTTCTAAAGGTAAATCTGTATTTGGGCATCTATCCTACAGTCTTTTATGTGCTATAATGTACCATGATAGATGAAACAATTGCAGCTATTGTTCATGAACTACAGATGTAACACCACTAGCACTTATTCACGACCTATAGCTGCTACTCCTGTGCACTTGTTCATTATCTTTAGATGAAACAGCCTCAGAACTTGGCCATAACCTAGAGTTCATGACTATTTACAGCACTTGTTCATGACTTAAAGATGGAACAACCACAGTATTCATGGCCTTATTATGGAAAACCAAAAGTGTGTGTGCATGACCTACAGATGTGACGTACAAGCAGCTGTTCATGACCTATATATGGAATACTTACAGCATTTGTTCATGACCCTATGAGAAATTTAGTAATTACATAATTTGGGTGAAAAGAATTTATATAGATTAATCAAATGCTCTAGGATTGCTAACTATTAAACAGTATTTTTTCCAGAATTCCGATTTAGTACTCTATTTTAAATCAATTTGGGTTAAAGGCTTATTCATATTCAAATTAAAACTCCTTTTCTTTACACTTGTGCTTCTTCAGAAAAAAATTGAAGGTTTGTAAATTAATAGCAAAACATCTGACAGTTTAAACATATAATCTGGCTGATTTTTGTTTGATTTTTCAGCTCAAGAAACTGAAATCCGTACAAGTATGTGTACAAACCATAAGGCCAGGGCTCTCCTGATCAACACCCCCGTCTTCCTGTTTATTTATGTACAGTTCTGCTACTTGTAGATCCACGACTGCCAGATACTTTTCTGTGATCTCGTCCCAAGGGTAACCGGTGGACTTCCAGAGGTCATACACTTCTGTTATGTACCGATTTCCACTGGAAAACAACACCATGCAAGGTTTGAAATTCTAGTGGCCTCATAAAAACAATTGTACATTTACATGAATTGCAAATATTTCCTGATATATATATATATATATATATATATATAAAGCACTAAAATGACCAACAACACGAACAATAAAAATTGTCAAATTTTCGGGACGCCCTGTCCCTTCCTCAGGACAAAGAAAAAAGTTAAAAAGTCATAAAAACAAAGGAAAAAGAAAAACACAAAGAACTAGCACTACTACTAAACTACTAAACACTAGATATTTACATAATTACATGTTGAATTGGAAATATTAAGAACACTGATAAAGAAAGAAATCCGGACCGCTGTGAAATGCGTCCGGTCTATCGGGTATACTCGGGTGAAGTGCGATTTACATAATTGAACGAATTAATTATGCTAATTAATTACAATAATCAGTAAATCGTATATTGGTTCATTATCTCAAAATGGCGTAACTTTACTTAATAAAGAATAATCAAAGAAAAAAAATAGCAGAGATATTTAAACATATGAATTATGATCCATTATAAATTTTCAAATATTTAAGGATTTATTACCGGGAAAAAAAATTAACAAAAGCGTAAACAATAAATAGTTTTGTGATAATTGAACGAATTAATTATGCTAATCAATTACGATAATCAGTAAATCGCACAGTGTTTCATTCTCTCAAAATGGCATAACTTTACTTAATAAAGAATAATCAAAGAAAAATAATATAGCAGGGATATTTAAACATATGAATTAAGATCCATTATAAATTTAAGGATTTATTACCGGGAAAAAAATTTTTTTAACAAAAGCTTAAACAATAGATATTTTAGTGGGTTGTCCGAGAGTTTGTGACGCAAATTAACAGTAGAGTTAACACTAAATTGAGAGAATAATCTTGTATGGTATCATCAGGAATTGGGTCTAGTTTACGTTCATTCTGGTGAAGTCATTTAGTTTGTTAATGCCATTAGGGCGGAATGACTTCAATCTGTGCATCCAGAACTTCTCTTTGCTTTTTCTCTGAGCATCTGTCCATCTTGGGTTATGGTCAATAACCACTACTGTCATGTCCTCCCATTTGTGACCCTCAAGGTTGAAATGTTCCCCAACGGGTTCATTGAGTTTTTTGGTCCTAATGGTCGAGCGGTGGTTATTAACTCTCCTGCGGAGATCTCAAAATACTAGGGAATTTGTCCTGTCAGACTGACAACTGCATTTATCTCATCAGTTGCAAAGTTTGCTCCAAACAGTATATTGGTGAAACAGGAGATCTCCGCAGGAGAGTTAATAACCACCGCTCGACCATTAGGACCAAAAAACTCAATGAACCCGTTGGGGAACATTTCAACCTTGAGGGTCACAAATGGGAGGACATGACAGTAGTGGTGACTGACCATAACCCAGGATGGACAGATGCTCAGAGAAAAAGCAAAGAGAAGTTCTGGATGCACAGATTGAAGTCATTCCGCCCTAATGGCATTAACAAACTAAATGACTTCACCAGAATGAACGTAAACTAGACCCAATTCCTGATGATACCATACAAGATTATTCTCTCAATTTAGTGTTAACTCTACTGTTAATTTGCGTCACAAACTCTCGGACAACCCACTAAAATATCTATTGTTTAAGCTTTTGTTAAAAAAATTTTTTTCCCGGTAATAAATCCTTAAATTTATAATGGATCTTAATTCATATGTTTAAATATCCCTGCTATATTATTTTTCTTTGATTATTCTTTATTAAGTAAAGTTATGCCATTTTGAGAGAATGAAACACTGTGCGATTTACTGATTATCGTAATTGATTAGCATAATTAATTCGTTCAATTATCACAAAACTATTTATTGTTTACGCTTTTGTTAATTTTTTTTCCCGGTAATAAATCCTTAAATATTTGAAAATTTATAATGGATCATAATTCATATGTTTAAATATCTCTGCTATTTTTTTTCTTTGATTATTCTTTATTAAGTAAAGTTACGCCATTTTGAGATAATGAACCAATGTACGATTTACTGATTATTGTAATTAATTAGCATAATTAATTCGTTCAATTATGTAAATCGCACTTCACCCGAGTATACCCGATAGACCGGACGCATTTCACAGCGGTCCGGATTTCTTTCTTTATCAGTGTTCTTAATATTTCCAATTCAACATGTAATTATGTAAATATCTAGTGTTTAATAGTTTAGTAGTAGTGCTAGTTCTTTGTGTTTCTCTTTTTCCTTTGTTTTTATGACTTTTTAACTTTTTTCTTTGTCCTGAGGAAGGGACAGGGCGTCCCGAAAATTTGACAATTTTTATTGTTCGTGTCGTTGGTCATTTTAGTGCTTTATATAAATTTCCATCCGTGACCTTGTATCTACTTGATAGATCCGACATTTAGGATATACAGTGTTGTTGGTTGTTTTAGTGCTTTTTATATATATATATATATATATATATATATATATATATATATATATATATATATATATATATATATATATATATATATGTATATATATATATTTATATAATTTACTTGAAACATTAGATTTATCCATTCAGTGGCTTACTTGATGTACGTGATAACACAAATATCTTGAAATAAAACTTTCATGTATTTTACCTCTCAAAATATGATGACTTCATGATACTAGTACATGTAGTAATTAATATAAATTACTATATATATATATATATATATATATATATATATATATATATATATATATATATATATATACATATTCAGATATTAAGATATTGCCAAAATTGAATTAAAAATCAGCGGAAAGATGGATAATAATAAAAAAAAAATTCCCCACATTCAAATTTTCATTCCCTAGGGTATAAAAATTCAAGGATTAATGCTATGTATATATACTTTTATACTATGTGTATATGCTTTTATACATCTCAGAAGTAATTAGTACAGTACAGCTCACGAGTTTTTGCCAACCCACGGTGGAAAATACAAGGTGTAAAATACTCCATGTTACACCGTGTACACAGTGTTCCACGGTGTGCGTATATTGCGATTATTCCAGAGACGCACCGTGTAACAACATGGACATTACCGTTTCCTTGGGGGACCCTCCTTGTTCCACCGTGCGAGAAAATCACGGAAGAAAATAGTTTGTTTATAAAAATAATTTCAGTTATAAAATTTTGAAATTATATATTATGATTATTTAATAGCTAGAAAAAAAAAGATCGACTTAATACAAACAGTACGTAAACATACATGTGAGTTCATAATATAACAGTTTCGAGGTGTAAACTTTGGTTCGCCATTGACGGTATGATTGCCAAGTATATTGAATAAATTTAATTTTATTTCTGTTGAATTCATATTTCATATTTAATTGAAAACAAGAACAATTATATGTCTATTGTGCAAATTATAATGTTTCCAATATAAGGGATAAATCCGCATGTACAATTCCAAGTACAAGTACATTGCCGTTTAACTTATTCAGTGAGAAACATAGACATGGGTCAATTATTTTAGTGATTATTTTCTCTGTAAAATACAGTAATTGTTATAAAAGGACATTCACAGGTATTAAATATATCAGATAACTAATTCAACATTATCTGATTCCTACATCGTAAATAAAAACAGTGAAATTAAAAAAATTGTCATAATTAGTATATTATGATATTCATACAGATTATGAATACAGTGTTTTCAATAAGTTTTTCAATAGAAGGAAAAATAGATGGAATAGCAGGAAACCAGTCTCGGCGAGGGGTCTGGGGGCCGCCTTAGGCCCCCAGCGGGTCCAGGGCAGAGCCCTGGTAGGGGGCCCAGGGGGGCGAAGCCCCCCCGGCCGAAAACGAAAATCAGCCTTTTTGACTCATTTTCTTACCTCTCATGCTATTAAAAAAGTACCATTTTTTCACATTCCTGTCACTATCAATTATCAAATTTTACCTTAAAAAGCCAATTAGAAAACATTTTTTACCTTTTCACAGATTTGTTTGACAATTTTTTGACAGACTGAGTTTTTTTTTCTTCTGAAAACTAAGTGTTTATACAAACATATAGACAACTTAAGTATGAAATTCTAGTACAGACAATTGTCTGTGGTAGAATATTATACTGAAAAATCTACATATTTGTCCCTTTCACATAAATTAGTCAGGTCTTTTATTCAAAATTCAAAAAAAAATTATTTAGTTAAAAATATAATTTTTTTTAAACACTTGGTGATATACAGTACCCTCCAAAAATTGAAATATTCTGCAATCTTAGACGTTTCATAAATTAATCTTAAAACTTATTTACTTTGGCATTTTCATTTTGTACAGATTGTCAGAACAAAATAATTAAGAAAATGGAATTTGATACAAAATACTAGTACATTAAAACCTTCCCAAATGTGAAAATGATACTGTTCCTGTATTTCAAGATATCTTTACACAAATAAATGAGAATAAAATTTTACATTTTCAGTTTGAGGAAATTCTGTAAGAATTTCTACATGTACGTCTGAGTCACGATCAAAATATTAAGACTTTCATTCGTAATTATTACGTCTTACCTTAACACTTTTCAGTTTGAGGAAATTCTGTAAGAATTCAACATTTTTCGTAAGGTCTTAAACTAATATTTATTTGCTGTTTTTTCACCGGGGAACCCCTCACTTATTATTAAGGCTGCCGCACAATAAATTTTCAATCAAAATTATAAAACACAAAAAATTCTTTTTGGAAGGGCCTCTTAATGTATGTGATCTCAAACGCATGTGTTACAGCAGGAGCAGCACGTTTCTCCACGACTTCGCTCAAATATTCGTTGTCCGCGCTGCCATTGCATGACACGATCGATCTTATCAAACTTCCTTGAAAAAAGAGCGCACTCAAGGGAAGCTACTCTAAATCATGGAAATAGTTGCGATAAAATCTATGGATTTCACGTATCAGCCCCGGCAAAATCTTAATGACGGAAATTTCATAGCCGGCAAAATTTCTCGTACAGGCGGTTAATTTTGCCGGTTGCCGGCTCTTATTGAAAACACTGGAATATACCCTTATTTTGCAGAAATAATAATTATAAATAGTGTAGACCACATACATGTAAGTGCTTAAATGAGTATTTTAATATTGAATACTAATAATTATCAGAAAGGGGAGATATAAATTATGAGCCTTTGGTACTCTGTTGGTTGAAATTAATGTTCTACTCACTCTATTAGATAACTCAGCACTGACAAGTCGCACAAAGTCGCTGCTAATTTTTCTGTTTCATGTAAGGTTTGATATGCAAATGGCAGTTCTAAAGATATTCTTGCGAATTCGCTATTCTTCAATGTGTGCAGCTTTGATAGTTTCTGAAAGAAAAAAAATAAAAAGCAAAAAATACTTTTTAGCCTATAAAGCAAAAGATACTTTAATTTTAGCTGGCAATAGACATCATGGCAAAGGACAGTTAAAAAGGAGATAAAAGCAATGCACCAGACCTGGAGATCATTGACAAGGCTGGCCTAGGATTATAGACAAGAGTAGAGGAAGTTCGTTGCTGCCCTACATGACACAGGGTGTAAAGGATGATGATGATGATGAATAAAATATTAAATGAATATTGGAGAAGAGAATTTTTTTTTAAAAATGAATTAGATCAATTTTTTAAAAAAAAACTTTTGACACTTTTTTTTAAATACTTAATCAGGTTCATACCTGTTTTTGTCCCTCAAAATAATTAGCTATGCACTGCACATACTTTTTCCTGTAAATAACATAAAAATTAAGGTGAGAATTGAGAAATTAAGAATTAATATTGTAATATTAATGTACAATAAAAAATTATTAATATTTATTACATTTAATTTTTTTAAAGTGTTACCTCAAGTTTTCATCTGCTAAGTATTTTCTTTTGACTGCATCTCTAAATTCCGAAAACCCAAACCTTGAATGAAAAAATACCAAATTAACTGTGATGTTCATAAAGCAGAATATATAATTGTTATTTTTATCAAAATTCTACTATCCATACCTTTTAAAAAACAAATCCAGAAAATTCAAGGAAAGCTTCCTTTCAAAGCTTTAATTGTTCTTTTTTTTTAAATTCATTTACGTAACAGTCATCAAAATATAGAAAGTACTCTAGGGGACTTGAACTTTTGATGAAAAAGAAACAAACAAGTGAATTCTTAATAGAGCTGTTATTGTTCCAGGATAATTATGTCAACAAAAGGTACTTATCATTAATGTTAATAGGACAACTTAGAATTCAAATAGAAATGCAAAATACATTTTCATCAGATAATATGAGTACACCTTTAGTAAAATTAATCAATATATTTTTTTCACACTTGACAAAAAAAAAATTCTAAATGAATGAGACCTATTGACAAAAAAAAAACTTTCTTACTGAATAAGACCCCTTTGGTCGATGAAGTACTTTTCCACAGAGAAGAAGAGTGGTGACCAAATATGAGAGGGGACAGAGAACATGTCTGTTAGTTCTGCTTCAGACATCCCCTGTCTGGACAGGCAGATAGCACAGGTCACCTATAAATAGCAGGAGTTACATTACAACAGTAGACAGGCAGATAACACAGGTTACCTATGAATAGCAGTATAGCAAACCTCGTTTAGTACGAACACGGATGTTGCGAATTATTGGATATAGCGAAGTCATCTTGGATTCCCAGCTATAGAAATTTACCGGTAATGAATTTCTTATACGGTTACAAGGAATTACTGATAAAGCGAAGTAATTTCATAGGTCCCTGTGACTTTGCTATAACCGAGTTTTGCTGTACTTATATTGACTACAACAGTAGACAGGCAGATAGCACAGGTCACCTATAAAAAGCAGTAGTTGCAATACAACAGTAGACAGGCATATAACACAGGTCACCTATAAATAGCAGTAGTTATATTGAATACAATAGTAGACAGGCAGATAGCACAGGTCACCTATAACAAGCTAATTCAGAGAATTTGTGTCCCCCGCTTAGGGAAAAAGTCGGATCCCCCTGATTGCATTTGTAGAATTATTAAATGTATACTGAAGCAAATAAAATACATGTATGTCAATATGCATATAAAGATTTGATTGCTTATTCTTTATTATGTGTATAGAAGATTATTTTTATATGGAATATTTATCACACTGAAATGATGATTTTATAACCTCACAAATTTTTCATTTCACATGCTGAATGCTATCATTTAGTGAAAAAAGAAAAGTATTTTAAAAAAAAATGATCGTCCGAGATTTGCTCCCGGGACCTCTCACATGTGAAGCGAGAGACATACCACTAGACCACGGTATCGCTTTACGTGAGTCAAGTACCGCGGTATATGCAGAACTGAAGTCATTCATGTTCGGTATTTATTCTCAAAATTTTACACAATCCATGGCGTTTGATTTATGTAGCCTTTATTAAACAATTCTAATAAATGTAATAAGAACATAAAGTCTGCCGAGAACCTATTTTATACGCAATAACTCTCCTCATGCCCCTGTGCTAAAAATAGCGACATGTAATACTATAAATACTAATAAAACAAACAGGGTGGGGCACTTTGAGAGGGGTGGGAGAGGTCCTAGGGAGTTTTGGTATAAAATTACATTGCATAAGCTCAAAATCTTCTTGAAATATCGCCCAGAAATGATAGTGTTACACACAGACAGAATGTATAAATTTACGACCTTGAACTTTGACATTTGGCCTCAAAATCAATAGGGGTCTTCATTAGGCCACAGGGAGTTGTTATGTAAAATTTCATTGCAGTAGCTCAAATGGTTCTAGAGATATCGTGTGGAAACAAAAGTGTTATAACAGACAGAATTTGCTTATTTATGACCTTGACCTTCGATCTTTTGACCTCAAAATCAATACGGTTCTTCTTTAGTCCATAGGGAGTTGCTATGCTAAATTTCATTGCAAAAGCTCAAAGGGTTCTCGATATATCATGTGGAAACGAAAGCGTTACAGACAAACAGAAAGACGGACGGACGGACAAACCCAAATTAATATCCCCCACTTTTCAAGCGGGGGACAAAAAGCAGTAGTTACAATACAACAGCAGACAGGCAGATAACACAGGTCACCTATGAATAGCAGTAGTTACAATACAACAGGTCACCTTTAAAAACAGTAGATACATACAACAGTAGACAGGCAGATAGCACAGGTTACCTATAAATAGCAGTAGTAACAATACAACAGTAGACAGGCATATAATACAGGTCACCTATAAATAGCAGTAGTTATATTGAATACAATAGTAGACAGGCAGATAGCACAGGTCATCTATAAATAGCAGTAGTTACATTGAATACAACAGTAGACAGACAGAAAACAACGGTCACCTATAAATAGCAGTAGTCACATTGAATACAACAGTAGACAGGTAGATAACACAGGTCACCTTTAAAAAGCAGTAGTTACAGTACAACAGTAGACAGGCATATAATACAGGTCACCTATAAATAGCAGTAGTTATATTGAATACAATAGTAGACAGGTAGATAGCACAGGTCATCTATAAATAGCAGTAGTTACATTGAATACAACAGTAGACAGACAGAAAACAACGGTCACCTATAAATAGCAGTAGTCACATTGAATACAACAGTAGACAGGTAGATAACACAGGTCACCTTTAAAAAGCAGTAGTTACAATACAACAGTAGACAGGCAGATAACACAGGTCACCTATAAATAGCAGTAGTTATATTGAATACAACAGTAGACAGGCAGATAGCACAGGTCACCTATAAATAGCAGTAGTTACAATACAACAGTAGAGAGGTATATAGCACAGGTCACCTATAAATAGCAGTAGTAACATTGAATACAACAGTAGACAGGCAGATAGCACACATCACCTATAAATAGCAGTAGTTACATTGAATACAACAGTAGACAGGCATTTAGCACAGGTCACCTATAAATAGCAGTAGATACAATAAAATAGTAGACAGGCAGATAGCACAGGTCACCTATAAATAGCAGTAGTTACATTACAACAGTAGACAGACAGAAAACAAAGGTCACCTATAAATAGCAATAGTTACATTGAATACAACAGTAGACAGGCAAATAACACAGGTCACCTTTAAATAGCAGTAGTTACAATACAACAGTAGACAGGCAGATAACACAGGTCATCTATAAATAGCAGTAGTTACACTAAATACAGCAATATGATGTTCTATATTAGAGATGAAAACAGAAATAAGAAAAAATCACAAATATATTCAAGAGTTGTAAATAAATCATAGGAAGACAGTTAATTTGAAACGGTCCCTTCAAAATAAATCTATTTCTTCTGAAAAGTTACCTGTTCTACTAAATTTCCCTCAAATTCAATCTCTCTGTAGTCTTCTTCTAATCTTTCCAAGACTTTTTCAAACAATTCATCAACACTGCAAAGAAAATACTGAAACACTACAAACTAAGCTTTCTCTGTGATATGAAAAGCAGAGTGGCATTATTTCTAATTTCAATACAGCCTGATTTTAATCACAAAGGTACCTTGCTTTTTATCTCTGAATAACTTTTTTAAAATATAGACTAAAGCACAAATAGATTTTAAATATATTTTTTTCTCTTGCTAGATATTGTATCATCAAAACTTAACTCATTACCTTCCACTTTTCAACAGAGAGTCAATTTTCTGATCAAGGAGACGAAAATACCCAAACACAATCAGTTCCTGAAAAACAAAAATAATACAGCAAAGATGATTTAGCATAGATGAGAAAGATATGATGACGTTTGCTTTGATTTTGTTGATAAATTTGCAGTTTTCAACTTACGTTCAGTAAGACTTTCAGGTATCTGGGATTTTTGGCTGCATTGGACTCTTTAATTTTCCTCATTTGAGAGGGAGATAACTCTTTTCCAACTTCCATCAACATTTTCTAAAATAATTTTCAAAAACATCAACATATACATGTACTCTAAAATATCAAGGACGCTGACAGAGCTGTTACAATATATTACATTCAATAATTAATATTCTTTAAGAACTGAAGTCCATTTTAAACAACTAATTTTTTCTTCTTCTTTTGTTTTTTTTTTTCCAAAAAGAGAAAAGCCTTCATTATATATTACTGTATTTTTCCAATAAATGAAGAAACTGAGTGATATATGAAGATCCAGGCTTCACAAAGTTTGGTAGTTAGACTGACCTCAGAGACTTCCTGTCTCAGGTCCTCAGATAATTCCTGTACTTCCAGTTTGTCGTAAGATCTGTTGGTGACGAGTTCCTCTACAATATCAGACTGAGAGGAGTTGGCTGACACTATCATTTTTGTTCCATCCGGGAGATTTCTTGGAAGCCAAAACAAAACCTGTTAAATATTATAAGTGACACACAAATAAGTCATAAGTGGAATTTCAGGTTTAGGCCAATGAGAGCAAAGCTCTTGATCTGTATAAATATCTGCAGTTAAAAAACAGTGTTAAATTTTAACAAGAAGTAATTCCAACAATTTTATGGAGCATTAAAAGTTAACAGTAATCTCTAATATGAATTAAATTGTAAGTGATATCTACACTTAGCTATTTTAACATCCTTGCTAGAAATTGCTAAGATTTCTGCTCATACAATAAATATGATCTATATAAATCAGCAAATGTCATTGATTTAAAATTGTTTCATTAGAGGAATTATAAACTTAAACAAAACAACTACAATCGCTTCATTTTGTATTAAATACTGATTTTCTTCATACTTTAATTTCAATTCATTTGTTAAAAAAAAAACAAAAAAACAAGTCCTTGTTCACTTACTAAATATTTACATTAAAGAGGCATATTTTCTTTTTTAAATAAATTACAAGAAGTAAGATTTTATTCTAACACTTAAAAAGATTTTTTTTAATTTCATGTGTTTGATTGCACAATATAATACCACACGGTATAACAGTCATCATCGGAAACCCACGGGTGATCTCGTCTTTACTTATCACTTGATTAAAGAGGCATCCGACAATGTATTTAACAGTGAATTCAATAGAAAAGTGTAATGATCTCTCCAACAGCTTAAAATACAGTTATTCTTGTGTTACTGTAAAATAATGTACACATAAAAATTTAGGCATGAGTGTTCACAACTTAAAGAACCACACTTGGAATTCACCGTAAAAATATCACTTTGAAACACCAGCATATAGTCAAATTTATAAAGGATAAGATGTTGCAAAAAAATGCTCTTCTACACTATTTTGTACCAGTCCCTTTTTGGTGTCACAACCAAACAGTTACAAGATTTCAGATTTAACAATAATGGTACATTTAACTAGATTTCATTCTCTGATACACACCTCCTCGGTCCTGGATGTTTTGGACACCTTGTCCACGCCGTCGATAACGAGGATACACTGTTTGCCTTTACTCTGGACCTGACTGATGTTGGCTGACAGCTGATTGATGATGTCTCTCACGTCCTCTACCTCTGTCTTACTGGGCGTGGTTCTCTCCCTTCTACCCTCCATTACATCAACAGCAAACTCCAGTTCATCTGTCAGTCTCTGCAGGATCTGACCAGGGTCTGAAAAATAAAAAGGAATTATTCTTTCAGTTAGTAATACTTAATAAAGTATCGACCAGTACATTCCTGTATTACTGTAATATTTTCTATCTTTGTGTGTGTTTGTGTGTATTGCATTTGTCTCTTTCTGTGTCTTTGTTTTGTTTTCTTTTTTTCCGGGGTGGGGGGGGGGGTGGTTAATTAATTTCTTTAAATAAAATCAAATCTTTATTTTTTTTTTATTCTATAGTGTTGCTTTTTCTTTCAGATTGCACAAAATCATAGGAATTCATCTCAATATATTTTAACAATTATGGTAGGAAACTTCTTGAATTTCTACCACTGAAAAACTGCATATTCATAATTTCAACGACAAAGTACAAATTCCTTTTGATAGCCCATATATAGAAAAGAAAAAGAAACTACCACAGTGCCGTCTCCTGACTGACCAGTGCTGTCCCCTGACTTATGTGTGTTGTCCCCTGACTTACCAGTGCTGTCCCCTGACTTATGTGTGTTGTCCCCTGACTTACCAGTGCTGTCCCCTGACTTACCTGTACTGTCCTCTGCATGTCCTACACAGTGATAGACCAGGCAAAACTGACTTCTGTACTCAGACTTTACTTTGGAAATAAACACACTCAACAGAGTGGATTTTCCACATCCTGAGGTTCCAGTCACCAAAAGTGGGCTTGAAGATTCTGCAATATAAATCCAGTTTTCTGTCACATTAAACACATTTTGGAACAAGAGGCCCATGGGCTATGATGCTCACCTGATTTACATTGACAATGCTGTATCTGTAAATGATTTTTAAAATATTAATTCAACAATATTTTCATGAAATAAATTGAATCTATATTGTTGCCCCAGCCTAGCCCAATATGTTTCCTGCTCTTGACTGGAAAAGAAGATTTTTTTACAATAGAGTCTAAGACAGAATTAGAGTTTGCAAAAACAAAAAGTTGATTCAACAGAACTTGGAAATGTTTGCATATTTTATGATTCCATGTGGTCCCTCTACTCTGGAAAAACAATTTTGCTAAAAAATTTCCTAATATGCATTCTGATGTGAAACTTTGAATCACTGGCTGGCTGGCTGGCTATTTTAGCCCCACTCTGATCCTAAAAACCATATGATTCATTCAGATTGTCTGCAGTGAATGAATTAAAACCTACCATCTCTCTCTAAATGCTTGCATAATACATGTATGCTTAATATATATCAAACTTTGATTCCCTATTGCAGACCCACCTAGGCTAATTATTCTAACAAAACTTTATCATTTTTCGAGTAAAGAGCATTACATTGAATTACAATATTTTAACTAGTTACCTTTATTAATCAGACTCAAAAGAGATGATAAATTCTTGTCTTGCACTCCATACATTTTCTGTCTGCTGGCTAGGAAGGCATCGTGTTGAGCCAACAGTATACTTCTCTTAGTCTCAGTTTCAGTGGATTGCTGCTGTGGCAGGACTTTGTTCAGATACTTCCAGATAGCATCAAATATTATCTTGGCACACTGTAAATACCAACCACTGGATGACAGCACAATCAGTTTAGCAATTCTCAAATTTTTAACAATTTCTGTCATTATCCTTCCTATGATTATTTAGTCCCTATGAATGGTTTTAATTTTGCTGCTCATAAAGTTGTTGCTTTTGCCCTACAATTATTTTGAGATTTATTTAAGAATTCAACGTTTTTATTATACACATATCAAATAAGATCTACTACAGTGAAAACTGATATATTTCAAGCAAAACTAAAAATCATAGTTTTCAGGCACTTCACCTGATTTCAGAATTTTCTGAAATAATTCCCTGTTTACAATGCAATGCAATTAAAATGCAAACAAGATGTGTTTGTGAAACACTGATGCCCCCTTATTGCAACAAATAAGTGAAGATTAAACTTTTCTTAAATGCAAACTCACTGGAAATACAGCTCTGAAATATGAAATCAGGCCAGGGTAAATAATTTTTCATCAGTTTGGAATTCTTCATATCCAATGAAGGGTCTTTTCACAAGGAAAACATATGTATAATATGAGATCACTAGCCCTAAGCATTCAAAAATTATGGCCAAGGTTAGATTTTTTTCATAAGTATGAAAATCTCCCAGGTCAAGGTCAAAAGGTCAAGGTAATTGGTATCAAATGAAAGGTCTTGCCACAAGGAATACATATGTAATGTGTGGAAGCCCAAGTCCTAAACGTTCAGAAGTTATGGCCAAGGTTAGAAATTTAATAAGTAGGTCCAACTCCAAGGTCATAGGGTCAAAGGTCTTGCTATCAAATGAAAGGTCTTGTCACAAGCATTAAATATGTAAAGTATGAAAGCACTAGCCCTAACCCTTTAAAAGTTCTAGTCAAGCTTTGCTTCTTTAAAGGAGGTCAAACTCCAAGGTCAAGTTCAAAGGGTTAAAGTTCTGGGTATCCAATGAAGGGTCTTTTTACAAGGATTACATATATGGAGTATGAAAGCCCTATTCCCTACCATTCAAAAGTTATGGCCCAGGTTAAAGTTTTTTCATAAGTAAGGAAATCTCCAAGGTCAACGTCCAAAGGTCAAGGTTGTTGGTATCCAATGAAAGGTTTTTCCATACCAACCTGGTTTCTACTGTTTAAAAGATATGGCCAAAAAAAAAAGTTTGGAATTTTTATGTAAAAGTGGGTCAAACTCCAAGGTCAAGGTCAAAAGGTTAAATTTGGTGGTACCCAAAGAAAGGTCTTGTCACAAGAAATACACATGTGAAATATGAAAGTCATAGTTCCACTAAATCAAAAGTTATGAGCAAGATTAAAGTTTTTGCGGACAGACAAACAGAGAGACAGACAGAGAGACAGAGACAGACAGACGGACAGACACAACAAAAACTATATACCCCCAAAACTTCGTTTATGGGGGCATAAAAATTTACTAAAGTGATAATAAAGTACTGATCAGAATTTATCCAAATGAATGTATTTTTTTTTCAATAATAAAGAGACATGGCCACACTTGCATTGTCATTTTGTTTGAAGAATAAAAACTTAAACATTATGTCTATGTCCCTTTTAAGGTTACTGGGGAAGGGCAGGGAGGGGGAGATTTACTGTAAACCAACCATTACTCATATGCAAGAAATATCTATGAGTTAAATGATCTTTAACTACTCACAAATACTGCCAACCATTACTATTTATTTTGTATTTGGGTAGAATCATAGCAGATAAGTTTCAAACTGACAATTTGTGAATAACAGATGTTGCAAATAATTGTTTTACAGTATACTGGAAACTGAATTTTAAAAATTACCAACTCAGAAATATCCTGATAACTTATAGGTACAAAATGTATGTCATTAGAACCTGTTTAAGGTAGTATTCAGTGTGTTATTTCAAAATTAAAACTTATCTTGACATCCAAAATACATGTATAGTCAATATATATATAATTACTTCCTGAGGGTTTGGATAGCTCAGATGAACTCCGTAAGTCTGGAAAAAATAAAAATAAAACATTTTTTAAAAGACTAAAATCAGTTTCCTCTCTCTCTCTCTCTCTCTCTCAATAATTTTCATCATATACATGCACTTATATAATTTTATATACAGTGATGTGCCATTAGTGATTCAAAATTCAAAATGGCCGCCATAGTAACTTGACGCTTCGGAAACATAAAACACAGAAATAAAGATTACAACACTTTTTCTTACCTTAATACTTAGTTATATAGCCTTTTGACCTTAGAACTTTCTGTTTTCGTCTGGAGATCGACCTGTATAAGCTATGAACATAGTAAACATAGTAAATCGGGATGTTCATCCAGATGCGTTGAATGACTGCCTCCATGCAGCTGATTTTTACGGTAGGGTAAACTGATCGCAAATCGAACACCTATTTACATTCACCGTCAAGGTGACAAACAACACGATGCATTATGCGTGTCATAAACCCAAAGATGTATTGAAATGTGTATCCTAAGCGTCATTTTAGCATGCTGTTTACTGTAACAACCGAATGATACAATTTTGAAGGAAAAGCCCGAGATACTAAATTAGTATAGATCGCAAGTCGAACACATTCGACCACAAGTCGAACAGCTAGATATGAACGCCATTTATTCTGAATCGCAAAAATTACATATTTGTTGATGGAAACCGCTTTTCGTGACATTATAATAAATAAACATATTTCTGAAGAGATTATTTTTTTTTAATTAAAAAAAAATTCCCTCTTGTCTTTGTAATATTTGTATCATTGTTGCGGTGTTTTTTCCTTTGATGATCGCTGTGTTTTATTTCTGATACATCATGGCTATAACTGTGATCTACATGTAACAACCGTGATCTATCAAGATAGAGCATGCCAGGGTGATGATGAAATAATTCTAATAAATGACCCATGACTTGCACCGAATAATTAGGGGAAAAGTAAATACAAAGTCATGTAAACATAGTGAAGGAATACCTTCCCTAAAATAAGAAAAATAATAATTTTGCACGTCGACTTTTAAATCCAAAATGAAATTCACACAGCGGGTTTAGTTTTTGACTCGCATAAACTCACTAAGCACACACAATGAACTACATGTACAGGAAATGAGGTAAATATTCAGAGCCGTCTTGTTTTATTAATTTCAACACAAAAAAAACGAAACATGTAAAACTTTTAAAAAGTATACAGAGATAAATAAAATTTGTATCATTGTTGCGGTGTTTTTCCTTTGATGATCGCGTGTTATCTCTGTATACTTTTTTCAGTTTTGCATGTTTCTTTTTTTTTTTTCATTTTTCGTTAAACATGTCTGAAATCCTAATTTGAAGTCACGGCAATTTTTTTTTTTAAAGTCCTGATCACTGTTGTTTCGGGCGAATTTAAGCAGTGGTCCAAACTCACTTTGTTCTTTGTTCAACAACTTTCTTTGGGAGGTATAACTATTTTCAAACAATATTGTCATGAAACAAAGTCAAGTGTACATATTTATAAAACCAGAATACATAAAACGAAAAACAATTATTATATTGCATAGAAGTTTAAAGTTGAAAATTAAAATCGTTCATACGGCTCAAATATAATTCTGGGAGACGTGGAGACCGGTCCTTCGGATGAGACCGTATAAACCGAGGTTCCGTGTCGCAGTAGCTGATGGCGCGAAAAAGATCCCTACCTGCTAAATTGCCCTCAGTGCCGAGTATAGGACAAAATTTGCAGCCATCCACCTGCAAGTGGTGGCGTCTCCATATTATGAGTGAAAAATTCTTGAGAGGGACGTTATACAACATACAATCAATCAAATTTAACTATCTGTAAGCTTTCGTTTCTCTTTAAATCAAATGTTAATCTTTTGTTACGGCCCCGATCTCAAAAGATCTCGTTTCGCCCCCCCCCCCCTCCCATAACTGTGGCACATATACTTGCAGCATTGTTGTTTTTTAAAAGGGGTATGATGACAACTTACCTGAAAAAGGTGAAGATAGGGAACGGGATCGATCTTTAAAAAAAAATGCAATGCATCAAATCGGCCGCAAACAAAATTTAACATTTCTAGAAGTACTTTCACAATTTCGAAGCTTCCAATGACCATGCAAGGAAAGCACATGATATTTAAAGCTGAAAAAATTGATTATTTTTTATTTCAGACTGTCAAAGCAAAATAAAAAGAATAATTTTGAAAAATTAAATAGAAATTTTAGTGAATTTACTCATCAAATGTATTCATGGATGTAATAAAGCCACTGATAAATAATAATTTTTTGTCATCAAAATGAAGAAGTAGGCCTCTCAGGATGAATCACGTGCTGATACCCTGGATCTTTTTTACGTGATAAATGGTTTCTGCAGGGCATGATACTAAGAAAGACAAGTAAAATTGATGCAAAGCATCAAATTGGCCGCAAACAAAATTAAGCATTTCAAAAAGTACTTTCACAATTTTAAAAGCATACAGGAAAACACACAATATTTAAAGCTGACAAAGTGAATATATACCAAAGAGCGAATTTTCAAAGCATTAATTTTTTTCTTCAGATTACATAACCCCCCCCCCTCTCCCCATAGCTACAGATCTACAGCGTTATGGTTTTATGTATTAGTCTTTGACCATAACGCTACAGATCCGGTAATGCAAAAAAGTGCAATTTACGGCGCAATATTTTTTGCGCACTTTTGGGGAGAATTTCTCCACTTTCCAGCATCCGTCAATTAACTACCTTTCACTCCCTAATTCCAGGGATCGACACTAACTTTGAAACCATAGTTGTCAGCAGGGCTAGCCATTTCTAATTTCTACTAGCCCTGTTCATGTATTAGTTGTCCAGCAGCCGGAGGCTGGTGGCTGAGTCGCGAAGCGACGAGGGGGGTAGGTGCGGGAGGTGGTTTCCCCCTCCTGCTGGTGGGGGTACGGGGGGCCTTCCCCTGGAAATTTTGAGATGGGAAATCCTGCATTCTGGCTGTATTTTGGGTAAAAATTATATGTCACTCTATGATTGTACTTAAGACATTTTTTCTATCAAAAAATTCCATATTTATAATCATTTAAGTTATTTCGAATCACCTTTAAAGTTTACATTTTGACTTACAAAAATAATAATTATGATGATTATAAACATATTTGAAAATAAATTTAACAATTATCAGGTATATTGTGTGTAAATCATAATTATTTTTCTTGCTCTTAGTGAGTAATTGGTAAAATTTACTGTAGCCCTACAGGGCAAGTTTAAAGACATGTTTGGTAGCCCGACCTCAATATTCAGTTGTCCCGGGCCAGCGGGCTGGCGTTAGTGTCGAACCCTGGAATAATTCTAGACACATTATTTAACTATCTGTACATTTTATCCATCTCTCAACCCTTTATAGTCGTCTCTACAAGTGATAAACTCGCTTGCTTAAAATTATTTTTTAGATTTCTGAAAATTCACTTCAAACGAAGACGAAAATAAATTTTGCTTTGTAATTGTGAGTGACAGTCATTAACGTGTGCATTTTCCCGTATTTTCTTAAAAAGCTGCTTAAAAACATCAATTTTCAGTGAAATTTTCTTTCAGAAAACATATCCTGCCACTGTCACCCACAAAGCTTTTGAGATAAGTGATTTTTCAAAGCAGTTTACATAATATATTAAAAAAATTGAAGTGGGCGACAGTGACAGAAACTATTTTCTGAAGGGAAAAAAGCACAGAAAGAGTCTCTCTGAGGCTTTTCTGCATTAATTAAACTTAGAAATGTACCAAATTAATGACGTCATATTTCCAAAACGGTCCTCCTTGATGCCATGTTCTTTAATGATTTATCATATTCATCTATTCAACTCTTGTTAAAGCCAATTTTATAACTTTTTAAGAACATTAAATTTTTAGGGCACAATAAAGCCCAAACCATACCTTCTTCTTTAGTTAACATTGATGCCATGGTTAAACGATACAGCATTGACGAAGATGTGTGAAAATGTAAAGTAACATAAAGAAAATTAAATTTGGACAATCACTTACGGCACATCACTGTATATGTTATTTTAATCCTTTTACAGTGTATATGCAACTAGAAAGAGGTATAATTTTCATTATCTTTACTGTAAATGATATGCTTATAATTTATACAAGCATGAAGAATACTGGACTATATAACCTTGTCCTTAGTTTGAGAGCAGCGTTGTTTCAGATCCTCCATTAACTGAGTGGCTAGGTCACTCTCTGTCGAGTATTTAAACACGTGTTTCTTGTCTCCTCTCTTTTTACCCTCCTCTCTCTCCTTGTCATCATATTCCTATAAATAGCAACAAAACAGCTAGTGTATACACTAACAAAGAGTTAAAGAGCTCAAAAAAAGAGAGGGCTAATGATACACTTTAATGAGTAAGCTATATAGTATATTATACAGTAAAGTTTGGTTAATAAAGAAGACCCTAAGAACTCAAATTTTACTTCCATATATACATGTACATGTACATGTAATTGCAATCGATCAAATAATAGTCAAACTGAGAGATCAGTAAAATTTTCATTATAATAACAAAGGTTTTCTTATGTGTAAGTTTTTTATAACGAACTTGAAAACTCAACTCATACCATGAACTGGAATGCACTGACACAAGAAATATTAAAACTTAAACTTTGAAACTGAATTTATACACTTTATTGATTTTAAAATGTTGTTCTCTGCTGAAGATAAATACATAGCGCATGCCCATTTAAATACATTGCTATTATTATTTTTTATCAATTATTTGTTTAAATAACAGACACAACAGAAAGCAAAGCATCCCCCTCATAAGGAGCATACCTATAAATCAAGGCTGCATTGGACATCAATCCTGATGCAAATCGCAACACTTCTGTTTCACACCTAACAAACTAACACACACAAACTAACATACACACACAATCGTGTTACGATTACCCTTCCAGCTCTATTCCAACTTAATAATGAGGGGATAACAACTGAGTATGCACAGTTTTAATTGCTATGTGTACTTACAATGCAGAATGAAGGATAGACTGACAAGATGGTTTTTGCTTTTTATAGGTTATTCGTTCAACTTACTTTATTCCTAAAACAAAGAACAGCTGGTAATGCCCCAGGGTTGTTGAGATGGCCATGTAAAAACTCCAGTTCTGTGACACTTCTGTCTCTAACTTTATCCAGCCATGGGTATCTGCCAACAGCATTATCAAAGTTGTCTTGTAGGCTGCTGTCATCTCGACCATGCCAGCCATACCTCTGATTATAAAGTAAACAAATCGGGATCGAAATACGCATGTTTACATTCGATACCAAAAATAATTAGCGTATTTAGCAAGGGTTCTGTCTATTGATTAAAAATGAAAAATCTCGAGATACAACAAATGAATGAGTGTAATTTATACCTGTCCAAAAAATCCCGCAAAGAAGTCGGATCGATCTAGTTCTCTTAGACAAATGTTAATAACTTGGGAGCTGGCAGAAGCTTCCGATGTTATACCCCATCTCATATCAACAGCGACGAAGTTTACCCCATACTTGTTACAAAAATGATGGATTTGGGGAAAGTATTTTTTTGTCAGTTCTTCTCTTTCTTCCTCCATCCCTCCAAATGGAGAAGAGAAGAAAATTCGACATGTCCGAGGATCTTTCAACTTCATGTCGTCCATGCTGTATGCGGATAAGACAAATTTTGAACCCGACTCATTTTTTCAAAGCTCCCCCCCCCACCCCCACACATAGAAATAAAAAGAAAAGAAAAAAGAATAGAGAATATATAATTAATCAACAGGCCCATTGACTACAATGCTCACCTGAGCAGTGTGGCATTGATTATGCAGTCTAAATCAGTTATAAATCAGTTATTTAAGCCGGTAGTTTAGGGACTGGAGGGGATGATGATTTAAACAGCCTTGAAAATCATTACTACCTTGACCAGGTCATCATATTTCTACGACTTTTTATGGCATTGAGAAGATTTATAATTTAACCTATATATGTATTCCTATTCTGATATAAGACGATCTTAAAACTTTGATCGTCTATTGCAACCCTGAACTACCCCGGGGGTCATAGTTTGAATAAACTGAACACTACCTGAGGATGTTTCCATATAAGCTTCAATTTTCCCGGCCCACTGGTTTTGGAGAAGAATTTCTTTTTTAAAGGCCATTAATTTTTTATACTAAATTGTAATCTCCCCTTGGAAGAATACATGACCCTTAATTCATTTGAATAGACTTGATTCCCCATTACCCAAAGATACTTTTTTTGCAAGTTTGGTTGAAATTAGGCCAGTGGTTCTTTAGAAGAACCTAGTCGAACATGTGTAAAGTGGTCGACGGTCGACGTACAAAATGTGACCAAGAAAGCTCACTTGCCCAACTATCAGCTCAGGTGAGCTAAAAATTCATTGCCCATTGTAACTCCCACTCCCACCCGGGTCTTGAAAAAAAACTTGAATTAGCGTTACAGTATACCCGAGGATGATTCCGTAAGAATAAGAAAATAATGTTTTTGCTGTATTTGATCAGATTACTGTAAACCAACTTTTATTCGCGACGACTTTATTTCGCGATTTTCCTAGGATAAAATAGTTCACAATGATCAATTTTCGCGATCAAGTTTTTTGTATCTGATAGTAAAAGACAAAGAGGCTTCGCGGCGAGAAATATTCGCGATGACGAGGCTCTCGCGAACCTCGCACTCCCACTTCCACCCGAGTCTTGAAAAAAAAAACTTGAATTAGCGCTACAGTATACCCGAGGATGATTCCGTAAGAATAAGAAAATAATGTTTTTGCTGTATTTGATAAGATTACTAGTATTTTTTTTTTTCAATCCTATGTATTCCTATATATTCCTTTGAAAAACCTTGTACCCCTCCCTACTCCGTGGGTCATGATTTGAATAAACTTAATTCTACACTCCTGATGATACTTCCATAATATGAATGTAATCAGCATTGAGTCTAGATCTTCTACCAACATTGTTGATTTCATGGCCCCAAGGTCAAGGATTTTGGTATTAAGGCGGGGCACTTTTGATTTGATATAGTGAAAATGCCCGAATTCTTGAAAATCTTTACTTTTGCATCTGGGTATTATACCAATGATCTAAGTCTAAATTATATGAATTTAAATAATTACTGTTCTTGAGATGATTTTTTAAAAGATTTGTTATATTTCAAATTAGATTTCTGGTTGCATATTGTGGCCCCAGAAAATAAAGCCCCTGGGAGTCATGATTTAGACAAACATGAACAAGAAACAGTTATTTCTTTGTACACTGTAAAAAATGATGTTTAACTTGTGTTTAATTTTTAAACAGTCGTGTTTAACAATTAAACATAGTACGTTTAAATACAAAACACTAGCGTTTTATATATAAACACTGATGTTTAAACTGGTGTTCAATAAGTAGGGTGTTTAATCATCCGTCTTAAACACGTAATATTCATATGCATCAAATCAAAATATAAATAAGGTGTTGCTTCTTCGTATTTGCTGTATGAATTTGTCATTTTTACAATGTCTTAATTTACGAAGTAATTCCGCACATAATATTAGATATTTATCGACACAGAAAAAAATACAAATAGCAAGGCAATATGTTGACTTTAGATCATACCAAACGCATTCACAATTAACATTAATTGGTAGTAATTTTGTGCCAAAATTTCAAAATTTTTAGAAACTATTAAAGAGGAAATAGAAACAAATATTATGATATTTTCTATAATTGTATCGATATTTTAATCACCGGTGTTTAACACGAGTGTTCATTTCTTAACCATATATATTTATAAATTAAACACATGGTATTTATATAGAAATTGCAAATTAAACACCAGTGTTTAATACGTTATGATAGAAAATGACGCAGTTGATTATGTCATAGCATGCCATTTGAACGCAGAAGATACAGAATCACGCACATACTGACAAGAAACACCACATCTAGCAAGGAAATAGGAGGTAAATTTATACATTTCTTTACGTAAAATCTTTTAAAAAAGAATATTGAATACATCAGAGATCTAAAATGCTTTGCATTTATGAAATGCAGGATTGTTTCCTTTAGTTAGTAATCGTCTAAGTGCAATCCGGCCATGCGCAGAGGTAAAAAATAAATGCTTATGTAGTCTTGATATCTAATTTTAAAATTTGCAGGGACATTCATCTGTTATGAATCCTGAGAAGCAAACATTACTTGATAAAGGTAAGGGATTTAAACAAAGATCATACTTAACCGTGAGAGGTGTAGTGGAGTGACAAGACCATCAAAAATTTGAATTTAATGTACCACTCTACCCTACGGCTGATTTGTACTATTTTGGTTAGATATATTATCAGGCAATAATTTTTGCCCGGTCGTAGAAAATTCTATGGTCAAAATTTAAAATAAAAGGAGATCAAAGATCAATGAATGAAATCTGACCATAATATTGTACTTATAAAGAAAAGTTCAAGGAATTCGTGAAAATCATGTATATTTGTACAGGAATTTTATTTATTGGTGAATATATTGATTTCATGGAAAAGGAACGAAAAATTGAATAAGAATGCCCGTTTGTCTGTCTGTAAAATGAAAGGTTTGTCTAGTATTTTATTTAGACTTAAAAGGTTTAGTGCTAATGTACGTTATTCTTTACGTACAATCACTTAATATTTAGTACACAAAGTAATGAAGAAAAAAAAAAGAACAACAACACCCATCACCCCTACCCCACCCCACACAACCACCCCCCACCCCCTTAAAAAAAACCCGAAATATGACCATAAATTTCGCTCTTTTTAAAATGTAATGTCTCTATTAAGCCTTTTCCATCTGATTCATTATTTTTTAAAGAAATTGTTCTTCGACGCTTTTTAAAAAGCTTTTTTAGTAAAAATTCTTCTAGAGGTCACCCTTGTTCTCAAACTGAATTTCATTATTCCGGTCTCATCCAAAGGACAGAAAACAGAATGTTTAAAGTCTTAATATTTCTCTGTCTAAAAAGGTCAATTTTCTATCAATGAATGTTGTCTATGATTTGAAAATTTACGTTTAATTTGGTGCACTTTTGAATAAGCGTTTACTCATAAATTAAGCAGGTTATATTGTAAAGATTTTGGGATTTTGAAAGATTTTAAACACGTATTGGTGTTGAAGTTGCAATTCTTTGAAAAGGGGTGAAGAGTTAAATTAATGACGTAATATGTTTGCTAGAGCTGTAATTTCTATTCATTGGTTTTCATGTACACATACATGTATATCTTTATTGTTAACTTTTCAAGAATATGTTTCATTTGAAAAGTATAAAAGTAGAAACTTTGTAAAAGAGCTACACTGTAAAAGTAATGATAGCCGATCCTTAAAAAGATACTTAGGTGGGTAGATAATAATTAGAACAGTGCAAAATGTTGATCACGTGGCAATATTCACATTAAATGCATGTCATGCGTGGCTTTTTTCATCTGCTGACTGGAAATATCTTTGAATTTTGAAAAAAGGCTGATTGCCTAAATACTCAGTAGTCTTTGTCAATTCATCAGAAGTCCTAAAAAGAATGTTAGAAATTCCTTGTAGTTTCTGAGGTTGCTTAAAGAAAGCGTATATAGTACTATTTCTTCTGTCTCTATTGCAATTTGTAAAATTAATATGAGACATTAATTCTTGAAGCAAAACTAACAATTCTTTCTCAAAAGGAAAAATATCGAAAAAGCTTTCTTACGACAGAACAAACCACGAGTTTTCCAAGTGAGTTCAATTTTTGGCGGTATGTACATGTAAATGAGGAAATGCGTACAAACAAAATATGTATCCCTTAGTTTGAATAATGACAAAGTCCATGTTTTTGCTGTAGAAAACACTAAAATATATTTCCGAAGGAAACATGAAATAGTTTCTGTAAAGTTATAGACAGTCTTTAAGATGAAACACTAAAATCGTTTTTCTCTTTCTGTTTCATACTTGCGTTAATTTGTATTGCTTATGAAGTAGAAAGGCAATATCCAATCATGCAAGATACCTTGTTCAAACATGAATGTGAAGGAAAAGTGACATGTTTGTCCTTGACGTGTTTTTTTTTAAATTGAAAAAAGGAAAATTACTTTCAAATGCTCATTAATTTAAATTCAAACTGAATATTAGCGTTATCTTATTGATAATAGAAGCCGATTTAATATATTTAACAATATTTTGATCGATGGAGTCATTGTCATAGACATAATGGTATTCTATAATCCGTTTCCAGTTACACAAAATATTTTAGATCAAGTAGAATACAAGACTAAGTGTGAGGATGTCTTTAAAAAAGTGCGGTTTATTTGATAAGAAATCATTGTCTTATAAATCTTTCTAACGCTTAGGTAAACATTCGTTAACAATATTGCATGAAATAATTGAACTGAATATAATTTGTTGAAATTAACGAAGTTTCTGTAACAAAACATAGGTTTTTTTAAAGGCAAATAATATTCCTGATTAATTTTGCATTGTAAATTTAGATACCTGTAGCTATCCTATCATACACAAATTAGTATTTTTTTTAAATTAATAATTAATCTTTAAAAAAGAATATTATCAGCAAGTAAAATAAACGACTTAAATACTCCCCCCGCCCCCCTCTTTTCACTTTCATCGCAAATTAAAAAAAAATTTGACATGAGAAAACTCTACGACCGGGC